CACCTCTATCACCCTAACCACTCTCTTCCACCCTGTATCACCTTCATCACCATTATCAGATTAATCAGAGCTGTACAGGCTGCAGAGCACTCTTCAATCTCATCTGAATTCAAAGAAATATGTATGACATCACATGAGATCATGTTACAGAGAATTTGACACAATGAACATAGAGAAGATTATAAGAAATGTAAGTACTGTAGAGAATGTATGAAAGCAGAATAAAAAAAAGAATGAAGATTAATATCAGAGCTGTATAGGCTGCAGAGGCTGAGCAGAGCTGGCTGTTCAATCCCATCAAATGGATTTGATGGGGTGCACGTGATATCATGTGAGGTCACGTTACAGGGCATTTTACTCGGAAAAGTTGGTTTTTCTATAATATATAGAGAGATTACTCTATGTAAACCATATCATTCTATGTATGGTTGTGGCAGCGCTTGGAAACAGTAAAAAATATTCTGCTAACTAGAAGTAAAATTGTATGCTCAACTATCACTTAGGCGCCATTAGCTGTCTTAAAACGCTGAAAATGGGGATAGAATACAGAGGTATCTTGCTAGTAGTACATGGGGAAGGACAAAATAAAGAGGCAAAGGGGCAAACACTAAATGCGTAGAATGAAAGAAAATGGACATGAGCAAAAGGCCTGAAAACGAACAGTTTATATCAAACCCAGCCCATGCGTTGAAATGGTGCTCCCGTCTCGGGAGGAACAGAGGAAACCCATTGCAATCGTAACCAACCGAACAAACACCACCCTGCTGAAAAAAAAAAAAAATAATAATAATAATAAATAAAAAAAAAAAAAAAAATAAAAAAAAAAAAAAAAAAAAAAAAAAAAAACTTGTCCAAATCAGAACGCCGGAATGTAACTGGGTCACGCGTATTTAGCCTTTTTCGGCTTCGAACCGCTCGGCCTATAATCACCGCCCTCGCTCTCCTCTGTTCCGCCACGGATCAGAGGTATCTGCTGGAGAGCAGTCTGCAGGTCGTCACTTTCACTGCTCTCACTACCCCCACTGACATCCGAACCAGCAGCAGACGTAAGGTCCATTGGTGTCTGGTTTGCCGACGCCTCCAGCGGCCCAAGCGCGCTAGTCACCAGCGAAGTCATCTTACCCACTTTTTCAAACGTGGACGACGTAGTTCTGCCGCCAATGAGACCCGCCCGTGGTGGCCTGCCCATTGCGCGGGGAATTTTGGCATCTCTGATATCTGCGCCCGTGGCGTTGCCATCAATAATATGCAGATTTGCGCGGAACATCTTGGGATCTCGCATGTCATCGTATATGCCAACTTCCTCCAAATTCAAGCTTTCCAGCGCAAGGGTCTCGACCCTGGTATCTCCAAAGAACCACTCTTTGCCCGGGGCTAATCGTTGATCGGTCAATCGGCCATATTCACGGCCCGCCGTCACCCCTTCCAGGTCGATGCCCAGCGAGATATCATCGAACATGAGGGACATGACCTCCGATTCGTAGCAACGGCCGACAACATGATCTAGGGATATTTGAACACGTGTCTTCTCTGGTTGCATGCGGTACCATGTGCCATAGCCACTCATTCCCACGCACTCAAAAGAATTGATGACTTCTTCATCTGAAAGGGGTCTCGGAGCCATAGTTGAATCCGGCTCTCGATAGGCATTTTTTGGAGATAGCGTGTAAGCTTTGCCCACAAGTCGAACTGCAGTTGACTGACATAGCAGGGGAGACGCAAGGTCGGCGTCGCAGTTCCTCAGCTTAACCTGGATACTCTCGATGACTAGCACATCGGTGACACGGTTGTATGGATCTGCCGAAAGTGATGGTGAGCGTGGTGTAAGTCTAACGCCATCACCCTTTATTAGGAATTCGGAGCCAATAAATATGCCTCTACAATATACCGTCGCGTCCGGCCACGTGCCCTTGAAATGGTACTTGTCGACCACGGAGCACGAAGGCATGACCGTGAGCGCGTTTTTAATAGATGGGTGATAGTCGTCAGGAAGGACGCCTTGCAGAAATATCTGCCAGTAGTTCAGAGGCCGAATGCAGTTCAGGGGTACATATTTGTATTGGCGCGAGAGGTTCTTGTCAGTGCTATTTGGGTCCGGGAATGTCTCTATCCGGAAACCAGATATGTTGACAGCAAATCTTTTCTTGGTTTCCGTAACAATGTCTTCAAGAACAGGAGGTTCCTCGGCCGTTTGCGCCACAGTTCCCGCTCGCCATTCAGGGGTGCCAAGGAATTTTCGCGTTTTCCGGCAATACACTTCGAACTTTTCAGTCACCCAGTTGAATTTAAGCTCTGTCCCCTGAAAGGAGTAGCACCAGAGAACAAGTTCGCCAAGCCGAGGGATAAACGAATGTTGCATAAAAGTTCTAGTTAGATGTTCTTGTAGCGTGTTGCGTTGTGCTCTCCAATCCATGCTTAATGGTTCTTTAATCGATTGGTCGATGCTGCCTCTTTCCTTTAGTTTGGAGACTAGGATTTTGAACACGTCTGGTGTTCCCTCCTCATCCTCAGCCAGATAGTTTCTCCTTTGAGGACGCCCTATACCAACAAACACATGTCAGAGGCTACGTCTCAATGAAGAAACCGCGATATATTCTCCAAGAAGAGCAAACGGGTAAATCGCTTACCGAACCTGTTTCCTGCACCATTTGCGGATTTGCTCACCCCACCAAGCTTCTGCTTAGGTTTAGGTCCAGGTTTGCGGCGCTGCCCCGCCATGGTAGGGTCGTCGTACTTAGCTGCTTGCTTACCAGCTTTGCAGATATCGCAGCCGCATGGAGTGGCACCATGAGTCATTAAATAGTAGAAATGAGGCCAGAATCTATTTGGAGAGTTATAGTAGTATCCTGATGGGTGGCCGTATAGATATTTGTCCCGCTGGTGTTATTTCGATGCCAATCAGCTTGTGTTCATGAAATATACAAACATTTTCTGAAAATCTGGCAGAGGTACTAGTACTGACAAGCTCGGGATTTTGTTGGCGTGCTCGAGACATATATACATATCCTTCGGGTAGTTGGTCCAGGATATATTGTTTCCCTAAACTCCAGCCGGGTTGAATCAATTGTTAACATGGCAACGCTTGAGTCGAGATAGGGAACCAACAAGGAACAAGTTTGATATATGTAATATCAAGCTCAAAAATACAGAGAGACTCCAAGAACTATCAACCCTTCATACATCCTAACCCAATTCTTCAAGTTTTGAAAAGGGTAGAACATGGGGAAGAATTGAAGATGCAGCGCAACGACATCACACGACACGTTCATACAATATTTTACAAAGCAACAGTTATTCAGAACATGAGAATGAAAGAGTTACGACAAAGGAAGCATGGCACCATATTGAGGAGATCAAAGACACCAACTAACCTGGTCTTGCCTCGCCTCTCGCTTTCATCCACATATTAGCCAATTTCAGCAAATAAAGACGCGGATCTTCTCTTTCAAATCGCGACTCTGTCGGCCAGCGATTTATGTCTCCATCCGTAAACGTCTTGTCTATGCAGACCTTGACGACGCCTTCGTCATCTTTCGTGGACGGCGGGTTAGGAGGCGGCATTTTGTATCGTAAAAAAAACTGCGCTAGTTGGCTAAAAAGGAGATTCTAATCTTTTGATCATTTTACATTAGATATATTCACTCGAAATGAAATAGTCGACGCGTTTTTATGAATTTTAAAAAGAAACAAAGTAATGAGTTAAAAAAAAATATAAAATGAGAAATTCAAAAGTCGAACGAAAGTCACGTGGATCATATGAAGCCGTGGATCTGATTGGTGCATTCAGATAAACCCAAACCTTCAAGTGACAATTGAGCGGAGAGGAGTGAGCTTTGGAGGGGGGGGTGTGTCACTTCTGAATTCATGTTCCTTTTTCTAAATCGGTGAGCTTGTTATTTAGTTTGACGCAAATATTGCAGCTTTTATTTCGCTAACACCTCATACAATGAACACGGGTGACTATTAATCTCATTCATGTACATGTACATTACATACAAGGGAAATGAGTTAGTTTCATGGAGACGTAGAGTAAGTATATGAAAAGATATCCTCAAGAGGGGGTTCACCTCATACCTCACTACATAGAGCAATAGGAGGAATTTCGAGCACCTGGATATGTTGTATGTGCTTATTCTTCATGCTTTCACGGACCGGCGGAAGAAAATGGAGTTAGCGAGTGGAACCGATGCAGCGTGGGAAAGGTTAAAGAGAGGAATACGCCCTCCGACCCTATGTAATTGTGAAGGCGTATCTATCCGGTTGCCAATATATCAGAGATATGGTGGCAGTGGAATATGCGCCTGGGTGGAATAAGGTAAGTTACATCGAACCCCAGCGAAAGAAAATATATATACACTGACAACCTGACAGTTGCGCCGAAGTTCTGGAGGTGGTATCCTGATATCCTAGTGTTGAGGTCAACTCCCGAAGAATGATGATGTTAAGAATTAACCCGAATGCGAACGCAAGAAGGCTCCTCCTTATCTAGATATGATGAAGCTTAGCCTTAGGACCATTTGTCACAACCGAAGCTTTGAAGCTTAAAACCCCATCGGGTGCAAGTCCATAGTATATCTTCATGCTCATCCGTCCATGCTTGATGAACTTGGAAGAAGCTTAGCATATTTGAATGTGAAAGCGATACGTTAAAGGACGGTGCTAGAATAATGAAGCTCTGAAAGCACCCAGCGTCGTCCCGATCTTCCATATTCAGGTTATCTCCAGCATGGCTAAATCCCCAGTTGCTTGCGGCGGCTTCAGAGAAGCTTCTTACGAACATATTCCTTGCAAAATGGAATGGATTACAGGGAGTGAAGTAGCTCATTGATAATCCGAGTATGACTTATGACTTTATGTATGTATATAATGGCTGATCATTGATTGTTCGAGAGTTTCCCTCCGATCTCATTGAAATCCTAGACTATTTTGCTACTTTCTTCATATATATCCATACATCTGTCGCTGTCGTTTGCTAACTAGAAATAAACACTAATCCTGCATCCTCCCTATCGTTCTATCTCCATATGTCTTCAATAATTTCATACCCCTACTCCGCCATATTCTTGGAATCTCTACCTAAGCCCTGTGGGCTCTATTCCGCAGTCTCTCGCTTCTTCATTCTCACCATAAACGGCCTATCTGGGCCCATTGTTCCCGACAAGTTAGTGTTTGGTTGCGGCATTCCATTCGAAGCCAGTGCTTCCTTATCTACTTCGATATCAAATGCCGACAATATGGCCACCATGCCAACAACGACCTCATACATCGCGAGGTTCCTTCCAGGGCAGAAGGAGGTGCCTCCTCCAAAGGGACGCATGGAGTACATTCGTTCTCTGAGCGGCTTTGATCTTGCCTTGCCGGGTATCGACATCGCGTCCGCCGACAGGGTCAATCCAGTTTCAATTATCACATTCTGTCCACCCAGGTTCTCCAATTTCGTATCCGCGTTAATCTCTGCTCCCGTGTTTTCGTTATCGTCTGGTTCTTTGTCAATAAACCTTTCCGCCCAGAATTCAGAAGCATCCACAAACGTGCCGTCCGGAGACCAAACATCTGGATCTGTTTGCAATTCTCTGCCGGGAATAAATATCGTTCCTCCCTTGCGAAACACGTAACCCCCAAGCTCAGTCGTTTCCAAGACAAGCCGCACTGATGGTGACGAAACGTATAGCCGAAGTACCTCAAGGACTAGCGATTTTATGAGCTTGTTTGTGGCTAGGGTTCCGATGTCTAGCGTGCCATCTTGTTTCTGAGACAATGCTATTGCGCGACGAACTCGACCGTAGAGCTGCGGGTCGAGAACGCAATGTATCAGCATCCATGTCGCGGCCGGGATGGCATTTGCATTTGTTCTTAAATTATGCACCAATCAGCTATGCACTAGATGGGGAGAAAATGATGCAAGAGGAGAGGGATAGGGGGGAACAACGTACGCCCACATAAGGCTGAGGTGGAAAACAGCCCGCCCTCGTTTACTGATGCCATTGTTTAGAAATGTACGGTGTCTTTGCCTCATCAACCTGGCTCCCCAATATTCATCCCACGCGGGATCTTCCGATTCCACGTCTTCAAATTTTCGGTGCTTGGTTGCTTCCTCTTCCCATCGTTCTAAGACAGAAACCATCGCGCTTCGACTTGCAGCAGCCTCTGGAATAAATATGCCGGGTAAGTTCGTCGTAAGTGCCAATGCCCATGAATCAAATTCCCAAAGATCTTCATATGCTTGGGGCCAAACTTCCATGAGACGAGTCCCCATTATCATCGGAATGGAAGCAAGCGTATAATGCCGCATCAGGAACTCGTTAAAGTCCAGAGTTTTCCATGTGCCGCTGTTACCATGGCTTTCTTTCATTGAAAACGCCTGTTCTAAGCTTGCAGTCAAAACCTCGTTGAATTTAGATACCATCGGGGGTAGATTTATACCACTGAGGCCAGGGATATGTTGTCGATGGAGTTCAGGGATCAGGCCTTGGCCGTCACCTGCACCGTTTGGACCAGTGGGACCTTTCTCAAGGATTTTAAGGTCGGCTTGAGGGGCTCCGAATGCTTTATTCACGAGCAGCACGATGGGATCGAAGGTGAATAGCTTTGGGCGGCGATCTATCTGGCTTGCCAGTTTAGTGTCGAAAACTGTATACAGGTAATTCCCTGCCATTAATGTTCTCGACACGGGAAGACTAGGATATTTTCCCCTAGAAAAATGTGAGATCGAGACATAAATAAGCAAAAGTCTGCTAGAATTCAACCCCCTTTCCCCTCTTTTCCTCCTCCCGGTTTTTTTTCAGTTTATCTCCTTTCTTGGACTAAGATATAGAACCACCCCCTAGAAAACAAGAGAAGCAAAAAAAAGAGTCAACCAACCTAACCCAGCTCGAGAAACGAGTCGTTCCGCGGCGGAAGAACAGTCCATGACCAAGCCATGGTATGGCATAAGGGATCAAGGGGGGCTCTCTCCCTTGCTGGAACTCGCAACGTGCCTTGACGCTAGTAAATACCCAGGTCAGGAGGAATGGGGAGATGAGAAGGACGAAGACCAGGCAGAGCATCATCTCTACTGGGGCAATGAAATGGATATTGGATAACATCGTTGAGAGTAGGAGGATATTGGGTGGGAGGATATTTCACTCTCCTTCATATACTACTCTACTTAGAGCTGTCCGTAAATGGGCGTATAGCTCGTTCTTCTTCGTCCGCTTTCGTCTTTGGGACGGGTATCTTCACGAAATTGATAATCTCAAGTCTGAAAGCAAAGCATTTCGTCTTAAAAATAAAGAGGAATTCTCCAAAGGCCAAAGAGGGAGGTTATGCCGCCACCACTGACTGGTTAGGTCGGTCACCCTCCCCTTGGTGTGCTCGGGGAAGCAGCCATCGCCGAAATATGACATCCGCACACGGATCCTTGTATGTTGCGAGATCCTTTTTTCTTGTTTTTGCCTTGATATGGTGAGACACAGCCGTACGGCTATTCATGTGTGCTTGATTTTCTTTTTCTTTTGATCTTTGAGTTTTTTCATTGTCCTCGAATGATTTGTCGATTAGCCGGGCTAGACGTTGAGAAAGGTTATTAGTTATCTAGAGCCGGTTTGAACAGAAGCAGTTTACTTGTACGGATTAGCTGTGCCGCCAAACAAGCTTGTGTTAGTTTCCGTGTTGCCTTCCAAGGTATGTTAGGATGTCAAAATTTTTATTTTTTTTTCTTATTATTCTGAGAAGATGCAACTAGTTTCAAATGGATCATTCATGTGATGCTAGCAATTGGAAAAATTAAGTATGACGTAACAAAAAATAGACGCAGCCGATCCACCAAACAGAGCGCCTCACACAATTCTATTCTGTGATTCCAGCTTGTGCATACAGATTATCCGTAGCTGTATGGGCATCTACATATGCATCTCAATCCGCATTCCGCGGGGCATCCGCGTCTCCACCCCCCTGTTCGTTTTGCCCTTCAGCTTTGACCTCATCTTTTTCGCCCGCCTGGTATGGCGGAGGAGCCAGCTCAGCCTCACCATCACGAACCCACACCTTTTGCAACTCGGCATCGATTTCCTGCTTCCGTGCCTTCCACCCCTCAACTTGATCAAGTCGCTTGCGGAGCTCCTGTATTTCCTTCTCGACACCCATCTTCTCCTTTTCCGTGCCGATGCGGTCGAATTCCCATTCTGTGCCGTCCGGTCCCATGCCAAGGGTGAGATTGAAGGTGTGGTACTTTTTCAGCGAAACACGCGTGGAGATTGTGATCAAAGTGATACCCCGCTGCTTGGCTTTTTCATAGAGCAAGCCTTCGACATCAGAGGAGACAGCAGACGTAGCCTCATCGATGAATGCATATCGAGGCTCGTGGTAGAGGAGCCTTGCCATACCCATGCGTTGCTTTTCGCCACCGCTTAGGACGTCCTTCCATTCTTTGCGGCAGTCCCAACCACCCTCACGATCGGGTAGGTAGCCAAGATGGACATCGTTCAGCACTTGAAGTAGATCCGCGTCACTCCTCCCATCTTCTAACATGTCCATTTCGCTATGGGGATAAATGACTTGGTCACGTAGGGTGCCGAGGCTAAGGTATGGACGCTGCGGGAGGAACATTATGCCATCTACACCAAATCCTCTCGGCCGACTAACCAGGCCCCGGTAAACAGGCCAGAGACCCGCGACGATGCGAGCAATGGCGGATTTTCCGACACCATTCGGTCCTGAAATTAGAAGATGCTCGCCAGAACGCACTATAAAGGATAATGATTCGATAAGTTCATCACCCCCTTGAGGGAAGAGAGACGGCGCTACCACAGGTACATGTTCTAGACGCACGCCGTCGAATCCGCTATGGATCGTCCCCTGGACATCTGAAAGTGAGTATAATTCAGGATGGGAACCACGGCGAGATGCATATGCATTAGCCTGTACCCGGTGGAGAGTTGATATTAACGTATAGACGCGAGAGGTATATCCTGCCAACTCAGAAAGGTCTTTAATGCTGTACATCATACGGCCACCAGCATCCGCTAGGGAAAGCATAAGTCGCTTGTTTGTAATGAAATCCTTCATTCGATCTCTCTCCCTCCCAGAAGTTTCGATAGACGAGAGAGCCATCTCGGAAACACCAGCTAGGCCGCCCCACGCAGGTAGGAATATTGGAAGCGACGTGATTAGATACCCAAAGGCGGACCAAGAATACTTAAGAATCATATCTTCAAGCATATTATAGCGGATTTTCAGGCTATATATGCCCTCCATCCATCGTTGTAGATCCTTAAAACTTTTGGAGAGGAACACATGTTCCATTTCAGCTCCGCCGTAGAACGCCACCTCTTCAGCATTTGCCAGAAGTCGGGAGTGGAGACCTCTAAAGTCACCCTCCTTCTTACCCTCGACCGCTGTCAACTTTCCGAATGGTGGAGAAAGTCGACGCAGTATTGTTGCTGTACCGAAATATCCGCTGAGGATTCCTGTCAGTGCTAGGGGTCCCAGCGAACGATAGAGTTGGTAGTTGAAAACGAAGAGGTCCACTAGTGGTTTCCCAATAGAAGAATATAGCTTCGCAGAGGCCGCACAGAACCGGGTGAGATCCTGCGTGATGAATTGGTCCGCCGACTCGCCAACACCGCCATCAAGATTGGAGAGTTTATAATAGTTTATGTTATCGTTTAGGTAAAGGTCATGTATATACCTTGTGAGTCGCGTTCGGAAGGCAATAGAGACTTTGGACTGGAGGAACTTGATCATAGAATTGGTGTAAGACGCGAATGTGCCGATTCCACACCATTTTATCAGGCCCCAGAGGAAGGCTTTACCCTTGCCAGCGACCAAATCTCGCACAATCTCTCCATCAAGTCGTGCTACCACGAGAGATAGATATGTTCTGAGCATGAGAAAGACGCCGTGACCAATCAAGAATCCAGTTTCCTTGCTCCTCCACCTCGGAATCATGATGCTTAAGAGACTGAGAAACTGGTGCAGGAAGGCCAGATTCAAGCCTGGTCTGGTAGAGGGGGGCGGAATTTGGGATGGTAGAGATGATATATCACCGAGGCCGGCAGCCCTGGGAGGATTAAGAAATAGCCGTCGATGCGCATCGAATGTCGTCAATTTTGTCGGGCGAATGGTTACTTTGGAGGTATCGGAAGTCGTTACCGACGACTTGTAGGGGACATATATTATCCGTGTTCCATCCTTGCCGCGAAGACCGGAATTCTTCCTCACCAGGCGTTTCCCCTCAGCCCTCTCCTTCGACCATTCATGCCACCAGCGATATCCCCCATACCCACTTCCGATTATCGATAATAAAAGAATTATAGTTGCAATTAGCTTAGCAGTCTTGGACGATTTGCGGAATCGGTCTTGCAACAGCTTCGAATAGTAGGCAAAGAGGAGGAGCAAGGGATCCTGTGGAGGTCGCAACGTCGACTGCGCAGCCATTGTGTCCGTGTATTAAGTATCTTGTATAGTCGCTCACAGCCGGCTGAACTTGGGGGCTAAAGTATCCCGTTTTATCCCCCGTCTTGAGATTGCATTGTCAGCCTCGAAAACGGCCTTTGGATTGGAAAACGATATCGGGCAAGTTCTTTGAGGTCAGATTTCTTTTTGCGCCGCGTCAGGTACGTGGTTATAGGATTAGGTCATGCCAGCAGGCTCCCTGGATATTCTGAGTCTGTTGCAGGTCGGGAAAACGCCAACTATACCAGATACAAGGTGTAACTCGAAGGAATGAAGGTAGCATGAAACAAACAAGATACGCTTCGGCTGAAGAATACCGTGGGTGCAATTCAATGACATGTGACGACGCCCAGAATCCAGGAGACTCACATGACATCAAAATCACGTGCCGAGTGTAGCCAGGCTAGGTAGTTAATATCCAAGAGTATTGTATTATACGAGGTTAGCGAATTGAAAAATAATTACGTGTGTAATATACAATACTAAGTAACTGAGAAATGCGCAGTAATGTAACCTGCGTAGCCGCCCATACGCTGTAGAAGTCTGCGCGCACTGGCGAATGAGCAACCGAGCATCAAACAAATAATTCGGTATGTACGTACGCAGTACACTACATGTACCAGCGTACATAGCTTTCGCCAAAAGAATGCTTCAATAGCAGCGTGTCCAGTTTGTGATTCGTGGAGATTAGCTACCCTAGAGCTCCTCGCTCGCTGGCGGGGTTTGCTGAATATTTCCGGGGTTAAAGCTTCTACTTTGGCACCTGGTTGGCTGGCTACCCTTTATTTTCTTGAAGCATATCATGCTGCATGCAACCGCAAACCATTCGCCAGTCCATGAAAATTTGCCTACAGAGACCACGTCTAGCCAACATAATCGGCGGGATGTTTTGCCTGTTCACGCACTGCTGTGTACAGAGCAATAATCGCTGTCGTTATCACAGTGGGACCAAGCACACCAGGGCGCTGCCAAGCTGGAGCGGCAGGCTTAGCTCTCCTGCTAGCGGTAAATTACCCGGAGTGGCCCCAGCGAAAAATGGTTCGGCGGGCAGACTGTTGGCTAACCGCATTTTGATCTAGATTTCTCCGTAAGCGCCTTGAAGAAAATAGACGGCCCAATAGGAGCAACGAACCCAACCTGTGGCAGTTTACAAGATTGACAGGAACCGAGTTGATGAGCGCGCCTCGATTCCACAGCGCAGATGGAGCTTTGCTCCTCGACAATTTTGCCGCCATTCGAACTGGATAACATCTTGTGCATCGGCTTGAAAAGATGAGCCCAAGCATCGTGAGTTACTCCATGCAGCTTGACCCAAAACGTGACAGTGCACAGGGAGCATAAGGAACATGTTTGGCATTTTGCGCAATGTCCGTACGGAGGCACCTGAGTGGCTGAGATAACTACCTACACACCACTGATGTCGTTGATCTCGGCGAAAGGGATGAATGACACCACTACTAAGACGAGCTTAAGCTGGTACGTTACACGGCGAAACCTGCAGTTCAAAACCACGAGCAACAGCATCAAGTGCTATGTGTGCACGTACACGGGGAACCCATGCAGGTTCCCTTACTCCGCCTTTCAAAAAAAGGTCGCCAACGTATCATGGGTTGCTCGCTCAGCTTGACCAAGCCGATATTATTTAGCTGCGGAAGTCAGTTCGCTAGGCCGATGATTCTCGCAGGGAGAGCGCGCGCTATTTTGCGGTCTCTAATACAAATTAAAGCACAGTAAGGGCACAGGAGGTTATACGCAGAACCTAGTTAATACCCTGATCAATGGAAATGTAGTTAGTGGAGGAACCGAGATTGAGTAGTTGGGATAATCAACAACACGCAACTCAAATTCTATATTTTGCTATATGAGGCACAATACGCTACTAAAAGATGGCTAGCGTCGTGTACATGCAAGTCAACAATTATTTTTGAGTGCACTCAGCGCATGGTTTTGTAACAAGAGACGTCGTTGTTGGTGGGGCGTGCATACAGCGTATACAAACTTTTTTGAAGCAGCTCTCCCCGCCTTCTACGAAGTACGGAGCACGGAACTCGGTCGTAAGATATTATATCACGTGCCTATGTATTTTTAGAACTTGGAGTGTATCGGTAATGAAAATTCCGCAGCCCGCCCGCGTCAAGGGGTAACATTACATACAATTCCCTGACGATACGAATGGTCACTCTCACTTGGAAGCCAGCCAATGTAACGTCAGGATGGGATGGCTCCAGCCACAAGTGCTCTTGAAATCAGTATAATGATGCGTGTACTTAGGTACTTCGATAATACGCAGCAAGATATTTACGAAACAATACCTCACGTGATTCATTATTACAACCTTGGAATAGACGGATAGCACACCCACCTCTAGGCAAGCCACAAGTTACCGTATGCCGGGTTACAGTACATGACCATACCAAGTAGCCCCCTTTCCAGACTGTCCAGACTCCCTTCCCAATAATCCCTCCAACCATCACCACCACCAACCAACCACCAACCGCTCCTATTACTGCTGGCGTTGAACCGCCTCCGCTTGTCTTCTTCCTCCTCCTCCATCCTTCTCCTCCTTGACCCTTTGCTACCTCTGTTGCTCTTCATATCCTGTGGTGTCTTCCGCGTCTGCCCCGTTGCAAACAGTATCATTCTCGAGTCCGTTGAGCTGGTTCCTTGCCCTGACTCTTTCCCCCTTCGCCAATTCGCTTGTGCCAGCCAGGGTTAGACCTGTCCTCTCACCCCGTTTTTTCGGCCTTTCTACCCCCAAATTTGGACTATTCCTCCTTGGGCTGCTTGCTCTCTATCCCAACCTTGGCTCGCTCTGTCTGTCGCAAGGGCCTCCTCCGGCCCGCCGTCCCCTCGTCCGACTCTGTCTCACTTCGTTCATCTGCCGCTTGGAACACTCGTGGAGCTTTATCGATCACCTTGGGGGTCTGTTGGGATAGCCCTTGAATGATCTTTACGATACACTGCTGCTGTGAACGGTGTTCTCCTTAGCCCGAAGACGCGAGTTTACGGAAACTTCGCCCGCTGGAATTCTCCGCTCTTTGATCGATACAGCCAGTTTATATAGGTTCAATTCCTGGCGTGTTTTGCTAGCATTGACAGCTCAAGGCTGACTGGGAAGGCGACCACGGAGCTGTCTATTTCGTGGATATATTTTGCGACCCATTCGTCGAGCTGAATGAAGCTAGTCTTCATTGTTCGCTATCTTCATAAAGCAAGCAAGTCTACAATTCTGGTCGCATAGGCTCAGGAACAAAAAAGGCCAGAAGTCTTTTTCTTGTCAGTCTTTTGATTTGGGTTACAAGTGTCGTAGTTTTTAACTATCACGTTCTTGTTTGGGTCTCTCCCGGCGTGTTGAAAACGACGTATATTGATAGCCCCGATTCTTCTTGGCATTCCAGATATCAACACCACCTCCTCCTTCCTCACGCCAGAATTATCTATCGCGAACCTATCCATGACCGCTTCATCCAACGGCCCAGGGTCCAGTGAGTTATTCTATTTAGGTTATAATATCGTGCCTGAAACCATCTCGTTCTAACCAACCTCGTTCTCTTAAGACTCTGCCTTGCCAGTTCCTAACGATGCAAGTTCAAAAAACCTATCGTCAAATGATCATTCCATCGGCGATGCCCCTCTAGAGCGACATACATCGCATACGAACTCGGCGCAAGGTTCATCTGGCGATACTGAGCGCCCAAAGAAAAAGCGATCCTTTCTTCGCGTCCCATCGCGGTCATCTTCCAATGCAAAACAACGGGGACAACCCGCTGCTCCTGACTGGCCACAAGATGGAACTGAAAGCAATGCTGGAAGTAAAAAACGGGCTGGAAGCTTGGCAAGCAGTAAGCGGTCCAGGCGCACCGACGCACCTATGGCCACAGACACCAACAATGTGTCCACGCCCGATACAGATGATCAGCCTAAAGAAAGAATGGCAAAGGGGCCCTCGAAGCTGTTTTCTTTCCTCAGTTGCTGTGGCGGCACGTCGAACGACGATCAGGAAGAACCTGAAATACCCCCCAAAAAATCTGTAAAAACACAGTCGTCCCGTGGCAGGCAGCCAACGCCAGCCGAGAAGACAGAACCCAGCGCTGCAGGTTCGAGCACCGCCGATTCCAGAGAACCCGCCTCTTCTGACGAAAAGGCTGCGTTAAAGACAAGTGCGGACCGGAGGGAGCCTAACACTGATAACGGCCTGGCCGGAGTCACAGGAGAATCTGGGTTGGATAGCGTGGTTAAAATGGATATTGATAAAGATTCAAAGCCTCCAGCACCGCCTTCGGGCTCTAAGACTTATACAAGCCGAGATTCGGATTTACCACCAATTCCTGCGTCAGAGCAAGTGACCTCTTCAAACACAACCAGCGTTCCCCTTGAGAAGCAACCAGCCACGGACGCCGTCCCGAAGCAGCCCAATGGTGATCACGATGCTGCCATGCAAGATGCGCAGTCCGCGGATAGCTACATAGAAGAAGACGTGGATACTCCATCCAATGACGAAACCGCGCAGCGATCGATGGAGATTCCACCTCCACCTCCATTAGCTCGCCATGCTGAATCGACAAACAAGTATATCCCGCCCGCTCCACCCGTTCAACCAGAGAAGCAGCAGTGGTTATTACCTCCCATTGAGCCCCACCTTCAGAGCCGCAAATGCCTTGTCCTCGACCTTGATGAAACCCTTGTCCACAGCAGCTTCAAAGTAAGGAAAGCGCTTTGGTTTCGTTTAGATGATATTACTATGCGATTGTACTGACAAAAGCTGGTTTTTAAGGTCCTTGAAAAAGCAGATTTCACCATCCCAGTGGAAATCGAGGGTCAATATCATAATATCTATGTAATCAAACGTCCCGGCGTTGATCAGTTTATGAAGCGAGTAGGAGAGCTCTATGAAGTCGTCGTTTTTACAGCATCAGTATCCAAGGTTCGTCAAAAGCGGGTATTTATGAGAGACGACGCCAGGAGTAACTAACGGTTTTTTTTTGTTTTTTTTTTTTTCAATTTGCAGTATGGTGATCCTCTATTAGATCAGCTAGATATCCATAAAGTGATACACCATCGGTTATTTAGAGACAGCTGTTATAATCATCAGGGAAACTATGTAAAGGTATGTGCTTCGCCCTATTCCTATAATAACCAAGTGATGCACTTAACTTACCCTTGACGATGACGCCGCAGGACCTTTCTCAAGTTGGCCGCGACCTCCGAGATACCATTATCATCGACAATTCTCCAACGTCTTACATTTTCCACCCTCAGCATGCCATTCCTATTAGTAGCTGGTTCTCGGACGCCCACGATAATGAACTATTAGATCTTATTCCTGTCCTCGAGGATTTGGCCGGTTCGCAAGTTCGGGATGTAAGCCTGGTTTTGAATGTTGCGTTATAGCGACCGCGTGGACGTGGACTTGACTTCTTGACTGTTCGCTATCTATGCCACGGCTTGCCGGGCGCCTTTTCCCAGCCGCTCGTCCTACCCCGTCGAGTATCAAGAGATATCTTTACTCTCGCCACGAAAACTGGTCACATCAAGCACTGTGATCATTATTGCTCGGGCTGTTCTACTGCTCATCTCAACTTGCCAAGGATACCTCTGAACATGGCAGAATTGAGAACCCACCACCAAAATGCTTCAGCACGACCACCACAACCAAAGGGAGAGTGGGCTATAAGATGCTTCTCTAGTTTACATGGAACCGGTTGAGCCATGCTCTATCAGGCTGACTTTTCCGTCGAGACTGGTGTCTTTTATTCCTCCCCTTGTCCTTTTTTTTTTTTGCAATTAATCTCCCTTCCACTGCCTCCATTTATACCCCACCGATTGCGAACCCTTGAACGGGCCCATATATTTCCTCCAAGTGAGCGTTTCATTTCTCTTCGAGCATTTCCTTGCCGTTGCATCAACTAGGCGTTTTGTCTGCTCCCGATCTGCAGACCATAAAAGACAAAAAAGTGACCTTGCTGGGCACATGTGTCCATTCTCATCCTTATGTACCCTATCCACACAACACAAAACACAAAACACAAAACACACTGCAAACCATGCATCCATCTCCTTTGTTATTTTCCCTCTGTTATCATTCCTTTTGTCACTCTATTTTCTATGATCTAGTCCTCCTGTCATATTTGTTTTACTCCCCTTTGTTTCCGTAACCTGAAGAAGCGAATTTTGTTTTCTTTTGAAAGATATCACACAAGTGAAGCAACTGATTTGCGGGTCCTTATTTGTCCTTACCACTTCCTCTTCCTGGTTCCCTCTAATATTCTTTGCTTGTTCATTCTGATTTTCCGTTTCCTCTTTATTTAACTTCTATTACTATTACTCTATTGTTTATTGCCACTGGCAGTGCCAAATTCTGCTGTTACATTATTCCTGCGCCTTCTTTTCTCCTATTTCCCTTTTCTGGATAATCTGATTCTCTCCTTTTCCTCGCTGTCTGTTTTGTAAGGCAACAACAACTTGTCCCCTGTTTTTCACCTTTCTCTGCGTCATGATTTCTCTGGTGAAAACCAAAGGGATTAAAATTCAATCTGTCTGTTCACTTTTTCGAAAGACTCAACCCCCCCACCCCTCCCCAAGCCTTCTTTTTATACCTAATTCCACACCAAAATAATTCTTCGCGCTTACATTGCCATATTATTCGCGTATGCAACTACCTAGGTACCCACCTACTACGAACGTATTTAATTTTATTTCACACACAGCTACATTGCCTCACTCTATATCTTTTGGCCGTGTTGTTCATCTTTCCTCCTCTACCATGGTTCTTTTCTATCCCTCACTGTGTTCGCATATATTGTATGTGGAGTGCCATCCCTTCATTTTTCTGTATTGGTAGGTAATCTTTAATCTTTATGCTTACTGAGTGAGACATCTATGCTATATTTCTTAGAGTTGTACGTATGTTGGTGTGGTGCGAGTAGTATGACTTGTGGATGGTTAATGGTTGTACCCATGCTTGGCAAAGATACGTCTATATAAATATATATATCTATAGTAGAAGAAAATCGTCTCGGCGATGGTATACATCCGTAAATAGAGAAATAGAGAAAATATTTAACTCTAATAAAGTAGGCAGATCTTCAGGGTATATCTAATAAGCACTCCGTACTCATTACCTTTGTTGGGAATTGGACGAAGGGCTTGGCTGACACAGACTTTGCCAGGTACACACAACCACCTCGTGACATCATCTGGCTCGCGCTTGTTCTCCCTTCGCGACATCACCCAAGAGCTACAAATCAGTTTCTCTCCTATATTGCAACCTCTCTCACTCTCTCTAGAGACTAACTTTTTCTGCACGCGCTCCGAACGCCTCACCATCTACCCCACCCGCCCACAGCCTCTACATGACGGAACCTAACCCACCTCCACAAGCCGCAAGCTCGACTCCAACTCCGAGCCCGCCCGCAAACGACGAGATAGACGATAGCAACGCGGCAATGAAGGATTCTAAAGGCTGGGATGGTAAGCTGCGAGTCGAGCGCCATGCCGTGCTCACCAACCCCGAAGCTCTCGAAGACCCCGACTATTCAGATGAGAATGCCCCACCTCTGGAGGAGATCGAGGCGGATGAAGGTATGCCTCTTTTTTTTTCGCGTAATATATAAACGCTTGTCCCTAGTTGCATATGGTTTCTGTTCGTATCTCTTTTACGATGTTATATGAAGAATGCTAATATGTATGTGCGTCTATTTCCCCTTAGACCTACTTTCGGATTTGGGCAACGATGTTGAGGTGCGTGGGCAGCATAGTGCCTACAGATCTCCGTGCCATATGCCTCTGAATAGCTTCCAGTTTCTCTCTAGAGATAAAATACATAGAAATGAGCTATTGTTAACTTAAATGATAGGACATCGACCTTGTCCATTGCCGTATATCCTCACTACCGGCGCTTCATCTGGAACGTTTTACACATCTAGAAGTACACAGTTCCTCCTCCAATATATCCCCAGCTTTCATTGCTCATAGGCTTACAACTGTATCACCAATCGGAAAAATAACACAATACAGAAACTATGCCTCCGACAAAACCAAATAGCTCGAATGAGCTTTCCCGAAAATCTAGGCCCAACTCTTACCGATTTAGACCTCTACGACAATTTGATCACGCGGATCAGAGGACTTGATGGATTTACCAAGCTCACTAGCCTAGATCTCAGCTTCAACAATATCAAACATATCAAGAATGTCTCGCACCTGGTACATTTGACGGACCTATATTTCGTGCAGAATCGAATACAAAAGATTGAGGGACTGGATGGGTTGAAGGTATTGAGGAACTTGGAACTCGCCGCGAATAGGATTAGGGTATGTTTTGCGATCTGCTCGTGCTACAATTATTCCCTGGCTAGACTGCGAAGTATGACGGTGCTTTTCTGATGAATACGGGTTTAGGAGATTGAAAATCTGGATGATCTCACAGCTCTTGAAGAGCTGTGGCTGGGAAAAAATAAAATCACCGAAATCAAGGTATGCGAATGATCCCCTACAACTCTTCAGCAACTGAGTACCTACCTTTCAATCCGGCCCCTTTTTCAGACCTTGAAAATTGCAACCAAATACATATACTCACCATTTTCAATCCCAACTTCATGCAGAACATCGACGCTCTTACCAACCTAAAAATCATCTCCCTCCCCTCAAACCGCCTAACAACCATCTCCGGCCTCTCAAACCTCCAAAACCTTGAAGAGCTCTACGTCTCCCACAATGCCATCACCGCTATTTCTGGCCTAGAAAACAACACCAACCTTCGCGTCCTCGATATCTCCAGCAATCAAATCAGTAAACTAGAAAACATTTCGCATCTCACCCATCTCGAAGAGCTCTGGGCGTCCAACAACCAGCTCGCTAGCTTCGATGAAGTCGAGCGCGAGCTAAAAGATAAAGAGGAGCTCAAGACGGTGTATTTTGAGGGAAATCCTTTGCAGACGAACTCTCCTGTGCTCTATAGGAATAAGGTCCGGCTGACGCTGCCGCAGGTTCAACAGATTGACGCTAGTAAGTTTTATTTATTTGATTAATTCCCATGCTGTAATCCCCCTGAACACTGCCCACATCGCGGTCAGGCTTTTGTAAAAGAGAAATGATAACTTGGCTAACGAGCTCTGGAATTATAGCATACGTGCGTGTATCGTGAGGAGTGAATTACCTTTCTTATTCTCCCTTTAGCTCAGCAGAAATTGCCAACATGGTGCAGGAAACTTGGGGGGTACTATCTTAAAAGTTGTCTTGAGCTATGGTTCAGTCATGATGCATTTCTTTATGATAGATATATTACGCCGTAGATTTGATAGACAGGAAAGAGGGCGGAAATTTTGGCTCCCCAAAAACGCCAAGAAGGAAAGGAATGTATCTAGTATGTCTACACGTTTGCTCAGGTTTCCTCCGTCCGCGGATCCTTGCTGCTATAATATGATATGGGTAACTAGAACATGTCCTGTACCGTACCAATATCCGTGTATTATTACTGCTACTATTTTACATGGGCATATATACATCTTGGCACTCTCTTGTGGATTTGCTATTCAATATGATTCCCTAAAACTCGCAGAACCCCACATTTTCTCTCTCTTTCAAATTCTTGTCCTCTATATCTGCAAAGCACGCAGCGCCTTAAATGAAAAGTATATTATTATACCTGCCCACACAGCGCTTAAATGCAGAGGCCTCCTCCGCCCGATTCCTGACATACGGCAAACGTACCCAGAATGACATATGACAAATTTGATGCGCGGGTAGGTAGGTATTGGCCAAGTGATTTCCTGGCCCAGTAGTACACTTTCGTCGAGCTGCCGCTTGGGGCCTGGTTGGCTGCGTTTGTATTTTGACATTCAGGGTGGTGGGGGGCTGTCAAAATAAGTAGGGGCATTCCAGAGACGAAAAAAAATTCTCGAACCATGTATGGTCTAAGTGTCATCAAAGGCGGAGAGGTAACTATTTCCGGGTTTTGGCGAGACGGACATCATATTTTGACCGTAATGCTTAGGAGAATAACCTTGACCGGGCCCCTGCTGTTTCAGTCAAAAAGCCAGGGGCCAATCCCTCGCTCTTCTCCAACCTCCTTAGTGTTTGGCTATGGTGATCTTGCTCTGCTGCCCACAATTTTCCTCCCATGTCTTTGGCTCCTGTTCTCGTTACTGCTATTGATCCGGCTTAGGCTTGGGCTTTCCTGTGCTTCTTCCTTCACCTTCTCTGAGGCCACTGACGCAAGCTTCTCTTTTTCCGCAATCTCCCGACCTTCCCGCCACAACCGCATAAGTGAATCGCCATGCAAAGACTCGGCAAACCGCATAGCGTTGATCTGATGACGAAATGGAACGGGGCGTTTTTTCTTTGGAAAGCAATCAACATATCCAACCCAGAATAGTGTAGTTCGCCTTCGGGAATGTGCGCCTCTTTTATAACGGCCGCGGGCATTTCGCCCATTTGCCGTCTGCAAAAGATCCTGAACCTCGACGGAGTTAGACGTGATAAGGAAAGTGTTATGGTATGGATTCTGCTTGACGGCGACACCGTGGTCGTGGTACGACGGCTCGATATAGCAGAGAATTGATGGTTGAGGCTGATTAACATCACTGGTACTGATTTGTTCCTTTTCCTTTTCTCTGGCTTTGTTCATTCTGGCTTCTTTGGTTTTAGCTTTGATGCGCGGTTTCGCTAGGGAGCTTTTTGTTGGATATTGGTCCCCGTCAGAATCGCGGGGAAAAGATGATGGGAAGAGCGTGGATAGGCTGGGGATAGGAACGACAACTGGCGAAGCTTCCAAAGCAGCATTCCTGGCTTGAGGATCCTCGAAAATTGCCAGAGCCGAACGCCCGGTATTTTTGGCGTCTCTGGACGGGGTATTCTACTCCAATTTCGTTAGCATGAAGTACGATCTTTTATTTATGTGTAAGTTCTCGGACGCTTAGAGAGCTCTGATAGAAGTGGTAAAATAAAGCACTAATATTCAAACTTTGATTGCAAGGATATCATCCCAACCGGGTCCACAACAGACGCGCGGGGATCCATCTACAGAAGAGCAGAACAATGCCAATCTTCAAAGGGACGAAGGAGAGTAAACCGCCGTCTTTCGACGGTCTCAGCAAGTGCGGTAGTTTAATGCTAATAAAAGCCTATATTGGTTCGGGCCGAAATCTACCCACTTCACATTGGACGGAAAACCAGGCCATCTCATCCCCAGTTCGTAAAATTGGGCGAGGACATAGAGAACCTAATATGAACTCAAAAGAAAAAAGTAATGCAAAATTGAAGAAAATACCCCATCTTCTGTTAAATGAACGAGGGCGAGACAATGAAAATATAGACACCTAAAAGGAAACAAAGAAGGAACCCAACAACATACATACCTTCAAATTTAAGAAATACGACACCTCTCCAAACTTCCGTATCGCCGCAAGGACCAATTGCGACTCTGCGAGCGTGCGAGGACTCGGCACCATTTTAATATGAACTTGTTTGAGATTCGCAACATGGCGGGCAGCAGAGGAAGCCATGGGAAGGTAGATATAAAAAATAATATGATATTCCACTTCCTATCGTCGGCCTTTCCAAGCAATTATTCAAATTGATTTCTTGAATGCCCTTGTCATTGAAGTGTTTGCTTGGGCCTCATGTGGCATATTCCATGGGCGTATGGTCGCTTTGGATGAGAAAATTCGGGCGCTCAGGTGGTTGGATCTTTTTTCTCCTTCAATGGCTTCCGGACTTAGAATGGGGCAACGCGTGTGCGGTTTTCTCCACGCGGGTGTTAGTTTGTTTGAGGTTCAATTGGGTAGTTGCTAGCGCCTGTGTAGGGATAAAATGCAGAACATGTAGATATCCAATTCACCTAAATGTTATGGTTCGATTGGTTGATGATATCTTGTCATATCTTGGTGAGCGTTGGGAAAAGAAAACTTCCAAGGTTGGATGTTCCGAGAGGTCATGTGATATGCCGGAGTCGCGAAGCCGCAAATCTCGGACCGACCGAGAATCGAACATCTACAACTCCCGCCATCTAGGTTCTCCCATTCACCCATTCTATTCGCTTTTCCTTAGCCATATATTCGATCTGGGTATCTTAATTTGCATATCTATGATTAACGTGGGGCACAGAATTGCTAACAACATACGCCACCTCTCTGACAGTTTCATATATTTTCTATCCTTCGTTTCGTGTTGAATCTAATATACACGCTGCTTCGGCTTCCCCGCTGATTTACCCATTAACGCGGTCCCAAAACCGCCAATGTTTCACAGTGGACAAGGAAGAAAAGGATAAACTTTCCACAGGGTTTTTCACTTATGAATTTGCGCCAAGATAACCCCACAAAGGAGTGGGTGGCCCATGGGGAGCTCAATGCTCAAATCTTTGACGGACTAGTGTTCTCCAGGCTATCACTGGAGTGGCCGAGCAAGGCATTATTGCAATCCGTCATCTACTCCTCAAAGCGGTAGTTGTGTTAGGAGGCGAGCTTGTCAGGGTGGATTGTGTTAGACTAAAAACATGCTAAGCACGTACTCCTCTGCTGCGTGGGATAACGATGAGAAAGTGAGAATTTCTTTTTAGTCATAGGTTAGTATAATTCCGCCAGCTACGCGGAGTAGCGTGGAATGTATCGAAGTCCGATGTGGCATGGAAGACCTCAAATCTCAAAAGCTCCCTGGAGAGCTTCTGCGGGGATGCCGTTGACGCTATCGTTAAAATGGAATGGCTCTTCATGCTATGAGAAATTCTCATTGCCATGCATACATATAAAACTCAATCTGCATTCTCTGCTCCTCCCTTACTACCTTTAACTTGCTTCCTAACCCCATGCCCGATTTCCTACATAGTGCGAACAGTTCTCCTCTTGATTGATTAATAGTCTAATCAGGGATATCCGCCCAAATCACCCTAATCAGCCTCTCGTCTAAGATTACTCCGTACTAGAGAAACAATTACGATTTCCAAATCCAGTTCTTGAAGAAAGATGGCTGTCCCGAATATAAAACTGAACAGCGGGTTTGACATGCCCATTGTTAGCTTTGGTCTCTAGAAGCTCAAAAAAAGACACCTGCGCCGACCAGGTCTACAACGCCATAAAGACCGGTTACCGCCTGTTCGATGGTGCTTGTGGTAAAGAGAGAAATCCCACTACACTCCCTTTTCTACTCTTCTTTTCAATTCTGGCCCGATCGCTAAAGCCCCTAAAAGCCCCTGTGCCTATCAATATGAGAGCTGACACCCGTGACTTTGCGACATATCAGACTACGGGAACGAAGCTGAAGTGGGGCAAGGAGCTGCCTGGGCCATCTAGGAGGCATCTAGGAGGGTATTGTCAAGCGGGAGGAGCTGTTTATCGTATCTAAGCTCTGGCAGACTTTTCACGATCCTGAGCAGGTTGGGCCCGTTGTGAGGAAACAACTGGCCGACTGGCGCGTTGACTACTTTGACCTCTATATTGTACACTTCCCGGTTGCGCTGAAATATGTGGACCCCGATGTCCGCTATCCCCCAGGCTGGTTTAACGATGGTAAGAGTTCGATCGCTACCAGTAATGCAACCATCCAGCAAACATGCGGCGCCATGGAGGAGCTTGTCGACAAGAAGCTATCCCGTAGCATCGGCATCAGCAACTTCAATATCCAGCTCATCATGGACTTACTACGCTATGCACGAATCAGGCCAGCTACTCTCCAGATCGAGCACCACCCATACCTTACTCAATCCCTCTTGGTCAAGTTCGCTCAGGACGATGGAATTACTGTTACCGCCTACTCTTCGCTTGCCAACTCGAGCTTCTTTGAGCTGGGTATGCAGATCGCGATGGAAGCCCCGCGACTACTTTCTCAGTCCGCTATTACATCCATTGCTCAGAAGCATGACAGAACAGCTGCCCAGGTCGTCCTCCGTTGGGCCACGCAACGAGGTATTGCTGTCATCCCTAAGAGTAACTCTGGGACACGTCTCCTTGAGAACCTGCGTGTCAATGATTTCAACCTCGATCAGAGTGAGATTGACGCCATTAGCGCTTTTAATAGAGGTCTTAGGTTCAACGATCCCCTGAACGTAAGTAGAAAATATCCTGGCGAAATGAGATTGATGGGCATGGAGTGATCGTGGCTTGTCTCACCCCCTAGCTCTTATTATAGTACGGAATCCCATGCCCAATCTTCGCTTAAAAAGCAATGCTCAGCGAGGGTCCCAACGCGGCGGCTATCCCTCGGGGATTACCAATGCCCTCACAAGGCTACATCAATTTATCTAGAGCAGATACATATCTTCGACATATCTCGTTTGTATTGGCTAAGGTCCTATAGCCCGCTATTTGTTTCATTGACATCTCTCCTCATGTTAGCACCTTTCCTTTTACTTTCATGTCCTCTGCTCTAGATCATGTAGTCGAAACAAACTTTTCGCTTTCCATACAAGGTAGTTTTTGGTTTGATTCCAGTTCTTGAAAAGCGCCCTGGCCGACAGGCTTGGAAAAATCGATGCAAGAAAATCGAGTGCGGTGGAATAGAGGCATGAGGAAGACTCGGAAAGAAGTAAATTATTACTCCATTCTGGGATTGGCTAAAAATAAGAAGCATGTGGATATAGAACAATACAATACGATTCGTTCACTCATCCTCATCCTCACCAGCATCGACATTGAATTTCTTTCTCCCAGACCCGGTAAGATTCTTAAGATTCACCAGGTTCACCTGAGCATCCATCTTCTTCTCTATATTCTGAATCTCCTTCTCGGGATCAATAGCCTCCTCAGAAGCAAAGTCCAGCACCAGCCGCCTACCCAGAAGATGGGTATTCTTCAAAGCATCCATGGCATTCTCCGCCTCGCGCGCACTTACGAAATCAGCAAATGCAAAGCCACGAGCCGTCCCGTCGAATTTCTGCGGCACACGGACAGACCGGAGTTTGCCATATGCACTGAACAGGTTTCTGATATCCTTCTTCGTGGCCTGGAATGGTAAGTTTTTGATGAGGATCTTGGTTCCCCGCATGGCCAACTTCTTCGCATTATCCTGGCGCCTTCGTTCCTCAGCAGCATCCACCGCTTTGTGCGAGGCCTTGATGACAAGTTCGTGTTGATCTAATTTGTAGCCTTGCATCGCCGCGAGGGCAGCGCGTGCTTGCGCACTTGAGCGGAACTCCACGAACCCGAAGCCCATGCTAAGAGTTTCTCCTGGGCGCTTTGGGTCTGTTTTGGTTTTTACCCTAGCAGACAGGAATCCATCCAGCGGTTGGAACACCTCTGTTAGACGAGCATTTGTTGTAGAAAAGTTAAGATTTCGAACGAAAAGAGTAGATGTCTCCAGCGGAGACTCGGCTTCTTCCGTTTCTGTTGCCTTGAAAATGTCCGAAGTTGAGTATGTTTGCGAGATCACCTTTGGAGGAGGTGCTATAACCCGTGTAGCAGTCGCATTTTCATCAAACAGGTCCTTTGGTGCTCTCTCCAAAAACAGGATTGAGTCGCCCAGCTTTCGATACGCAAGCCCCTTGAAAGCCTTTTGGCATTCGTCTGCCATGACGAATTCAACAATGGCTATAGTGCCACTGGGAGGCATCAGGAGCCTCTTAATTTGCCCAAAAGGTTCAAACAGCTGTCTTAAATCGTCAGCTTTAACACCAAACGAGAAGTTCTTAACGAGGATTGCAGTATTGCCTCGTTCCCGCTTCTTGAACGAATCCAGGTTCACCCCATGTGATGAGAAGTACGCCTTCGTTTCTTGGATCACATGCGTTTCTGCATGGGCTTGTTTGACTGCTGCGTCAGAGGATGTGGGATCAAGCAGCTCGGATTTCGAAATCCCCAATCGTTCAGATACAGATGACATGACTGCATCAGCCTAATACACGTGTTAGATCATGGAAACTAATTTTGGGCACAAAATAACAGGCAACTTACATTCATATATAGGGAATTCCAGCTGAAATTTGACGACGCGGCCTCTTGTTTCCTTTTTATTTGTTGTTGCTTTTTCAAAGGCAATTTTGAAAGCTCATACTCATCCAGTTTATAGGTTTTTTTTGATGAGGCCGGTAAGATGTGCAAGAGACGGCCTTGGAAAACTTTCCCATCAAGCGTTTTGAAAGCCTGAATGGCAGCCTCTGGGTCCGCGTACTGTACGTACGCGAAGCCTTTGCTTTTAGAATGTCGTGTATCAAACGCAACATGGACCTATTTCTGCGGTCAGCGGCGGGTTGATTCTGGAGATTAAAAAAAATCAAGACATCGAATAGTTATTCACCATAGGATAGGCTTCTCAGATTATAAGAGGCATCTACTAAAATACTCTTTCCAGGTAACATCACATGCATAGCATAAGCTGTCCCTATCTGGACGATCATCATTGGAGCCAGTGGATGCAGGAACGGTGCACATACAATGAAAAACAAAAGACTTAACGGAAATGACACAAAGCAACAAGCATGCTTACCTCATCGATTTTTCCAAAGGGAGAGAATAGTGACTCCAGGTCACTCTCGCTAGCATTATAGAGAAGATTTCGAACGAAAAGGCGACCGGTTTCACGGAGTTGGCCTATATTCGCGTCAAAGGATTCATTCTTGTCGGATGGGTTAGGTGGTTCTTTTTGAACGGGTGGCGAAGCCTCCTGCGCATTCCCTCTCCTGGTGCTTTCATAGTCACTGTCCTCGCTTTCCTCAATTTCCCGTATTTGAGCGGTGCTAGGACCTCCTTCGTCTTCATCTTCTTCAACCAGGCCGAGAAGTCGACTCGTTCTCGATCGCAGCCAATCCATATCGGACTTCGGCGCTTCTTCCACAGACGTGGCCTCAGGTTCATTTTCAGGCTCGATAGACCTTGCTTTTTCTGCGATAGAATTATCCTCTGAGACATTGTTCGGCCGCTCCCTTTGCTGCTTTTTGAAAGCGGGCTTATGATCCGGCCTTAACCGCTTTGTTTTGATGTTAGGCTCTTCAGTCTTGCTAGACGGTTGAATTTGAGCACTATCCGTTGAAACCCCGTTAGTAATAACCACTATACCATCGTCAGCCCAAGTCTTTGACTTCATTGCCGGCTGCATAGCGGCAAGATATTCCTGGAGCTTAGGATCTTGTTTCTGTTCTACTTGGTCGTGTTTTCGTTTGAGAGTAGTGGAGTTGGCTGATGTGGCATGTCTTGAATTTGGCTTCCCACTTACCGGGGAATCACCGTCGACCTTAAGAGTTCGGTCAGCTTCATGAATCCTTTAGTTGGGTCAGTCTTCGATGATGGCAGCGGACAAATAAAAACGGTGGGAAATTCGATAGTGCGGAGGGTAGAAGAAAGGGAAGGGGAGGAATACGTACCGGTCGTGCCATCTCCACTGCAATTTTTGACATCCTTATATATGTCTTATTGAAGTAATTGGCAGCATCTTGTGCCAGAGTCGGGGTTTTGAAGCCCACAAATCCAATCCTTCGTTTAGGGATAACATGTGCATCAGTAACCTGGTACCGCGTAGAGAAGTGTTTTCGGAGGTCATCATTAGAAAAAGTAGGCGGCAAGCCTGACACGAAGACTCTTGTATTCTCCTCCATATTGACTGGATGGGAATAACGAAGAGTTCTTCAATCTTCCTTCTTGTGTGGAAAAGAAATGCAAAGAACGAACTGGTGGAATGTTTTCCTTTTTTTTTTTTTTTCTGCCAAAGGCGGTGAGAGTAGTCCGCACTAGCAACTAGCTATTCTGCTGAATGCAGCTCTGTGGCAACTGAAGCCATAGAATAACACAGAAACATCGCCGTGCTCTCTGCCCCTGAATCACTCACATCACTTTACATTCCCTCCACATAACACAGTCGGCATTGTATTGTATCTTTGGAACTAACTTGGAATATCACTCACTACCTCTCCAAATCAATACTCAAAATGGTTGCTGAAAAGCGTGAGAAGCTGGAAGGTATACATACCAAGCCCCCGGTTGTTTGCCTTCTTCCCTGTCGGCCAGCATGCTGCCTGAAGAAAAGAGCCTTACTAACAAGATGTGGGAATTATTAGCCCAGATTAAGTCTGCTGATATGGTGAGCGCTCCAATTGCATTATGACGTACCATCAGGAAAAGATAGTTGCGATAGCGCTTGTTTCCTCTCGAGTGTTTACTAACAGCCGGTCGGGAACTTAGAGCGAAGACATGCAACAGGAAGCCATTGAAGTTGGTACGTGCGGGACCTTTAAGACTGAAATAAGTTTCGGGATTGGGATATTGGTGCTGACTATTTGGTGACCTTTTCGACAGCAACGGAGGCCATGGATAAGTACCACATCGAAAAGGTATGGCGTTAATGTCGAAAACTGGAGTAATATATATGTACAGTACATATGCTGTATCGTATCGATACCCGCGAGACTGACAATGTTGGATTGCAACTTTAATAGGACATTGCGCAGTACATAAAGAAAGAGGTAAGAGAAAGCTACAGATTCGCTTCATAGTCTGCTTCGAAAAGGTATGGCTTGGTTGCTCACGGGAAATACAGTTTGACCTGCGCAAGGGCGCAACGTGGCATTGCATAGTAGGGCGCAATTTTGGCAGCTTCGTGACGCATGGTAAGAGGCCCTCTCCGTCCTATCTTGTCCGGTCTATTTAGAGGACATATTTCGCGTTGAATTGATTAGAAGCCAACCTAACCATCATGTCATGAATCTGTAGAAACCAAGCACTTTATATACTTTTATGTGGGCCACTGCGCCATTTTACTCTTCAAGACCCAATAAGTAACCGGCGATCGTTTCTGGATGAGAATGCCAGCGCCCGGCCTCCCCCTTCCGTTCGAGATCCTCGTCCTATACCAATTTGTTCTACAGTCTCAGAATGACTTGAATTTTTTTTTTTTTTTTTTCTCTCTCAGACTTCACCATTCTAGAACGTTTATAAATGGCGGGTTATATACTACTGCAACAGAATTTCCCAATACGTATACGTGCGCACTCATAAGAAAGAGAAAGGACAGAAGAAGAATGGTGGTATGATGTGGAGCTGGAGCTTGGAATGAACGATTAACGAAACGCTTTCTCCTTTTACTCTCTTCTTTTTATGGTTTGTTCTTATTGCCTTCATGTTGTCTATTTTTTTGTCATTTTTACCCTTGCTCTCAGCTAGTCATTTCTTATTTATTTACCTTTCCTTCAATTTACTTTCAGCATCCACAGACATTGCATATCGTGACATCATTTGCCCCCTTTGCGAATGAATTAACAGAAAAGCAACACGGATGATGATTGAGCAAAGTCGTATGAAAGTGTGCCGCTTGGGATAAATAAAATAATTCTATTACTGATGATAACTGCTCGAGTCCTATTCCTATTAAGCCCACCAAATGCAACTCCGTATCTTATTATAAGACATCCGTACCCAAAAACCACGCCCAAGTAGAAAGCAACTAAACTAAGGAAACTAGGAGAAAAGATAAAAATCCCCCATCAATAAGCAAGTTTCAATAAACAGTTGGGTATGTAAACGTATATTGGCGATGCGACCATGAGAGTATCGAGATATCCCATAAACTGGGTGGTAAGGGGAGATTGGAAAGGTCGAAAACCAACACAACAAAAGAATGGAAGGAGCGAAACAGCTCATAAAGTACAGCAAGACAAAAGAGATATAAGTGAGCCAGAAAACATAAACAGGAGAAGCGGAGGAAGAGGGGAGAAGAAAAGAAACGGGTCCGACCAAGGCCAAAAGGACGCTCCTAGTTCCGTAGGTTACTTATACCAGTAACCCGGCTGCGGTTGTCCTGGTGCTCCTGGCCCTCCCGGGGCTCCTGGGCCTTGGGGTCCCCATCCAGGGGGCCCTTGGTATGGTCCTAGTGGTTGAGCCGGTGGGCCTCCACCGGCTTGCGATTGGACATCTGGTCGATTGCTGTGTAAAAGCATATTAGTGTTGTCATGCAGAAAGATATTGAGAAGTAGGATGGTCTAAAAGGGAGCAAAAAATTGATGATGACCAAGCCCTTGTCTTAACCTACCTTAGATCCTGTGCGAAGTGGCATACATGGCAGGTTACCTCCTAAACACTCCGAATGAGAGTTGGTTAGTTTTGTTCGATTATAAAAAAAATACTTGTGCCCATCACTGTGGCCAGAGGATGGTTGCTTTTCATGTTGGGTATAATGGGGTGGAAGTAAGAGGGCGAACCTTATATTTGCGAGTTGATAGAGGAATAACGGGCTAAAAACAGAAAGCAGACGGAATCAGTTAATGTGAGGTTCAAATTGAGTTGGTTCTGACAAAAATCCGCCTAGGCGGAGAGAAGAGAAATGGATATCTATGAGGCGGGCGTACAATGAAGCAAACAGTAAACCAAGGCCTGGAAAAGATCAGAAAATTTAGTCAGCATGTCATGTACCTATCAAAAAAATCCATTCCGTCTCTCAAACCATTTATTCAACCGGCGTCTTAAGATATGAAAGAGAGATTCCCAATCAAATTGCCTCCCTTGAGGTCGAGATGGGGAGATATCATGAATTCTCAGCACTTACCATCTTGTGGCGCAATGCGCGGACCAATTTCCGCCTGCACAGAACAAATAACGAAGTTAGAAACGCAACACTTGATTTGTACCTCGTCGTCCCACCGCCATTTCCTCATCTAAAAAGGGAGAAAGGAATGGGGCCATTCCCCGCCATGGATAAGCCAAACTTACAGTTATGGCATTGTGCAGTGACATTTTCATACCCCTTCAGGCGGGACGTAAATTCTGGGAGAATATGTCAGCACGGTGCTGCTCATTTTTTCACAGTTTTCCGTCTTTCTTTCTTTTGGTCCCTTCCGTGTATAAGAGCGAGCAGAGCGGATAGATATATCTATATGTATGTATGAATATATGTGACATACCTTGGGTCCCGAATGTAAGACAGATGGCCATTTTGTCGTTTCCGGAAACAGGGTGGCCGTACTAAAAGAGACGTAAAATAACTTTGACGGGTAATGGTGTTTCTCTATCTCTTGGTCTGGAGCTATGTATATCTCTTAGTCTCGATCTTCTTTTCGTCTTCGTGGAATAAGCTAGGCTACCAGTCAGATCAGCTTGAAGCCGGCGACGGATAGACAGATTATACAAGCAAGAACCTACACAGATATACCGTCTGCTGGCGCAATAATAATAAGACAGAGAGCGTGTCCACAAGAACAGGAATTTGATCCTCTCTACGTGGGTATGGGGGGCTGGCTATTTTTAGGTCAGTGACATCAATGATGGGGTCGACGAAACAAGGTAGAAGCCGGCACTGTGGTGGATTCGAAGAGGAATAGCAGAGAATGCCTTACTATGGCGAAAGTGAGGGATATATATCTGCGGGTATTAAACGGCAGTTTGGTTCATGGATGGACGATGAGTGGACGCATGACAGGCGGAGTTAACTGGCTGCTCGGCGGACTAAACGATGGAGCTGAACTCTGGAGGCGCGCTCTGCGTGTAATTGTGGCGCAGGGCTTGGCGCTCCGGTTGGTCAGCCATCTTATCGGGTCACTTGGATGCCTTGATCAATTTAATCAGTGGAGTTGACTTCAAAAACTCATATTAGGGCTCATGCCGATATTGGCTACTACAGAAACTACATCTATTAAGCGTGGTTCAATGCAAGAACTAGTATTGTTCCCCTTCTCACGGACATGGATGTTGGGATATAAAGAGAGGGAGTATAAGAGGGCAGAGGAAAATGACCCGAATCAATGGTACTTAAGCTCCATTCCCTTTTTAACCTCAAGCTGCCACATAATTTCCCCCGCTTTCAACCTTGACACCCGCCCAGAGCCCCAACGCTCCTTAACGGCACTGCTATCGAGAGCCACAGTGGCAGAGTCGCCTTCTTTATCCAAACCCTTGGGTTCTAAAACATTAACTTGCAGACTCCCATTTTTACTGACGGGTACCTGATCGAGCAAAACTAATGAAACCGCGGTCGACTTGGTATTGGTTATCCGGCATGAACGTGTGAATATTGCGGTCTCTAAGCTCCCCGCAAAAAATCCCCCGGAAACACGCCTCACGCTAGGTTTGTCATAGGAGACCTGAATCCCTGGATCGACGCCAAGGCTAAGGCTAAGGGTAGTGTTTGGGCGGCCGCCGGCAAGAACTACCGTCCCCATAAACGTGCCATCAAGGGTGACGCCAACCTGTCCCCGGAGAAGCGCCAATGATGATGTATTGAAGACCTTGGCGCGGAGAAATGCAGCGGGGCGGAGCTTGGGGATTATTACGTGGGAATATTCCACTTTAGGGAAATCAAGCTCGGCGATTACGTGACGGTGTTTTAGGGGTGAGGGGCGGAGGGTCCGTCGTCCCGGTTTGTCGTAACTGGTTGTCAAGCCGTAGCCATGCTGGGAATATTCCTGGAAGGTGAGTGCATTCGACGAATCAGAGAGGATGGTTGCAGGATCTATAGAATCGCCATCGATGGTGATATTATCTTCTTCGGTGGCCTGCCCACCTTGAGTGCTTCCCGACATAGCAGGAGCAGGTACCGGTGGAGGGGATACAGGCGCGGTAACGGAAGTGGGACGAGGCGGAAGGATCCTCTGCGATACGGCTATATTGGTCAGTTGCTCTTGCTGCTGCTGCTGTTGCTGTTGTTGCAGGCGTTGCATCTGTATTTGGCGTTGATGCTGTCGCTGCTGTTGCAACGCCTGTTGTCGCGCCTGTCGGTGATGCTCCAGTTGGTTTGACATTTTATGCATCAAAAGGTTTGATGATATTGTCAATGAGGTATTGGTATTTTTCTTAAGAAATGCAGCATGCTCCAGAGCCACTCTGGTACTGATTTCGGCAGGATTCTCCAATCCCTTGCTCCAGCTATCAAGGCTGCTTGATTCCTCAGATTCCTCCTTGAGTAAATTTAAATGCCACGCCTTGAGCAACGGAAGCTTCTCCCCAAGTCCACCGAAGCAAGTTTCCGACGTGGACAACGTGAGTTTTGCATCACGCCAAACCTCAGAGCTCGAATTATGATATTCCGCCAGATACACCCCTTTCCCACTCGATGTCAACGTCGTCAGATTGAACTCGTAACAGGGAAGCCATGCGGCCTTCTTTGTCACATAGGTCAGAGAAAGGTCTATTTTCCCGATCCTCTCAAGTGCGTCAGTAGACGTAATGGTGGAGTTCTGACGGCTGGAGCTTGGAGTGAGGTTGGAAAAGCCGTCCAGAAACAATGTAACCACGCGCACCTGCTGCGGGTAAAATTTCAAATGATCGTCTCGGCGTCTACGCTTCTCTGCAACCACGATATTGTGATCATGCAGTTTCCTCTTCCTGTTTTCGCGCTCGGGCTTTGCTGCTGCGTCTCGAGCACGTTTGAAAGCCGCTGCGAGTTTATTCACTTTGCTGGACACTTTCTCTCTTTTCTCAAAAATTTCGGCTACTTTGTTGTCGCAATTGTACATCACATCCCCCAATGTCGACACCTGGCGCTGGTAAGTGTGGAGGTACTCTTCTAATTTCGCGGCAGGCACATCCCCTGCCTTGATAGTTTTGCCATAGCCATCTAGGACCGCGAGCGACTTCTCAGCTGTTTGCCGTTCTCTCTCCGCTGCAGCAAGATCGGAGTCCCAAACCTTCAGCTCCCTCTCTGCATTTGACAGTTCAGATCTATCAACCCCGAAATCGTCATCCGGGTCCTCATCGTCAATATCATTGTCCTCAGACTCGACTTCGCATCCAGGAAACAGTTCCTCGAAATGATTCCTTTGGGTCACCGTGGCAGTCTGTATGTCGGTGATGGTGCCTGGCCCCTGGCCAGACACACGAATCGAGTCAGGGTCAACTTGAGGGTCTACCCCATAGATGATAATTTCATTGGGGCCCGGCTACAAAGAAAATAGAAGAGAAAACGAAATAAATTAGTCATTAATATCGTACTTGAATAATACGTTTTTAAATCGGACAGAGCATATATTCGTACCTTAATGGGAATACCCAAGATTTCACGGACAATTGTAGCTCTCTCAGGACCCAAGGTAACTGACGTTGTGGGAGTATCCACCAGGGAAACTTCAACAGTATGGGCAGTGTCAGCCGTCATTTTAACGGAGGGAATACACAGTATAATATGCTGTTCTATACACGAGTAGAGAGAGTAGTGCAACTATCGGAGTAGGGAGGTCCAAGATGATTTAAGTAACTGGCAAGTAGTGATAGACAGTTACTTGTGCTATATGTATGATACATTTGCCAAGCGGTTTAATGACTATATATATATTCATATAATGAAGGTAAAAGAATTAAAGAAGGGTTTCTGAGCGGTGTTGGCGTCCTTATATAGTTTGGAGGAACAGAGTAGGCAGCAAGCACCCCTAAACCCGCGAGGCTAACTCGAAACCATCAAACATCTATATTTAGATTTTCGCCGATTGTAATTGATTAAACCGCCGATTTCTCCAAAGCTGAAGTTGACATGCTAATATACCATTTGAACGTTTTATTTAGTATGTAAAACCATTGCCAATTCATTTTTTTCTCAGTTGCCCGCTCCCACCAGGCAGAGCTGTAGTCAATACATCTCATTCTACTACTGTGGCCAACTGCAGCAAGACACGCACCGGGAATATAGCTCAATATTATCAACGGGGAACAGGAATCAATCGAATAAATAAGCAGTAGTTACGCCATTCTATGTATACATTCTCATCTACATAGCGCAAGCTTTCCATTACAAAAGACCCGCGTAAATAAGAAACCAGTCGTGAATTCGAGTGAAAGAGAAGTAGAAGGTTTACAATGGGCCGGAAAAGCGAACAGAACGGGCAAAAAATATCAAGAATATATTATTTACGACATGAATGGTAAGAAACAGAAGAAAAAGACAATACAGATTTTGCAAACTTGAAAAGGAAATATTGGTCTTGCGTGTGGAGCGGGTGGGAGTGAGTGTGCGCGTATAGTCTGCCCTCTGTACTGCAGACAGGAGGGTGACGGTCGGTCGAGGTATGTAGAGTGAGATTTAGGTGGTAGAAGAAAAGAGACGGATGAGGATGGGGGCATGCCAAACCAGGCGTCAAAAGTGCACGCGGAGCAAACGTTGGAAACGTTCACGGTTCCCTCTTTCGCACATTGTGACATAGGCATCAGTGGTATGTATACGAGGAGAATTAGGTATAGAGCGAGTATTTGGAGCGTGTATGAAGTCAAGTCAAAAGCCAAGGAAATAGTGTAGGAGGACAAAGTCGGCCCGTTCAAAATGCAATGAACTTGCAAGCAACCCATAGAAATCCCAAGCGAGATATTTTCGCCCGACTCCGCCAACGGTCATATCGTACAGGCTATTGGATTATGTTCTTGTTCGCGAACTTAAAAGGATAGCGTTTGTCGAGGATATAGGGTATCGAACGAAGCAGACTAAATAAACGTTTATGAAGAGAATTTCCGTGTGATTTTGGCAATGACTGTGGAAACCCATGTCAGTGAAAAAGGCAACAGGCAAGAAACACTGCCATCCCCCAGCTCCAAAAGTACATGTTGGGATCCAGCAAGATCACAAAATTCCCACTTCGACGACGAAGAATAGGAAGCTACCAAACCAGTTCAAACATGCACTCCGGGCGAGAGCCTAGAGAAAACAACATACCATGCAATCCAACAACAGAGAAAATGAAGCCCAAACTCAACACCAACACCACGACGGGATCAACCTTGAAGCCAGGGCTCTCATCTGTATAGAGCTTCAGCATGGTACCCGAAGAGCCGCCCGCACCAGCGGAGCGTGTGGACGCTGGACGCGCATTCCGGATAGATTCCTTGTGATCTGCAGCAGCGCGACGGCGCATAGCCGTGCGTGGTCCGCCGGGGGGTGTAGGCGACGAGGGGCGGTTGAGAGACGAGCCCGCGATGCCAGAGGCGACGCCAGTTGACGCCTTAGCTCCTTCAGCTCCTGAGTCCGGACCGGATCCTGAGGCCTACATTTTCGGGATATATGGGTTAGCAATAGGGTTTTCTTCTCGTTTCAAAATCCATTCTAGCTTCTAGAGAAATGAGAAGCTGGCTTGGGTGTTTCGAGAGGAAGCGGTTGAGGTCCAAGAATGCGGAGATGTAGCCAACTTACCATTGTGTTGTTGGGGGGGGCCCTTAATAACAGAACCAGTTGAATAAGTTACGAGGAAGTATGACTCAGGTCGACAAAAAAGAAAGGAAATAGATAGGAGAGGAGTTGGCTTGTGGACGGGGTGGACGTTGTTGGAGGTACGAGCAAGGGGGAGCGAGGACAGCGAGGTGAAAGTTGAGGTTGCGCTGTTCCTGAAGAGGCCACGACGATGAAATCATGGAGTCTGTGTCTGTATTGTCACTCTTGGCGTAATATAATCCACACTAGGGCAAATATGCTTCCAATAACTCCGTACCGGTATTTAGATTTATTTACTGATTAAACTTACCAGACCCTCACCAAACTATCCTGCATATATTGCACAAACAAACATCGCAGGAATCTATCTGAATGCAGGAATACAGGAGATAATAGAAATATTGAAACTAATGTTATTTTACAGTCATGACCTTCAACAAAGATTATCCAGAGATAAGCTTTTGCTACTACTCATATCTTTGAGTATGCTATTATCACAATCCTCACAGCATGATAAAAGCAAGAAAACACAAATGTCATCTGTCATCTGATGTCATCTATGACAGAGATATCAGATTTTGTTTCCCACAGAAGAGCTGCTGTAAATAAATTCAGACAGCATGAAACTATGAGAATGAATAAGAACTAAAATATTTGTGAGTCACATCTGAGTCTCAAATCATTTCAAGATATCATCACTTAAGAGAGTCTCATTAATCAGAAGCTGTTAAAATTCACAGGTATGTTCCTCTCCATTCCTCCGGCTTTCCTTAGCCTATTTGAAAGTGGTCTCGGAGCCAAAATCAGCGCTGATCGTTTGAAGAGGAGGGGGAGGAGAATTTTGGCATCAGCAAGGGCGTGGAGATTGCCTTACATTTCGTTCCTACTACACGGAGCAGGTCTTGATGCAAAGCTGACCTGACAACGCGCATATGTCCAGTAGGGATTGCCCAGTGGCAGCCGTTGAGGTTGCGAATATGGGATCCGAAATGCTTAGTCTTCCAAAGCAATGATAAGTTGGCTATTCACGGCTATCATCAACAGCTTTGCTGAACGACTTTAACGCCGATAGACAGCATTGCATCTTGCCAGAGGAATGGAAGGTCAGCATCTTGCTCTCAGAATTGGCCCAGTAACACTTTTGGCCACTTCTAACAAGTAATTGGGTAGGGGTTGATGTGAAAATAACTATGGACTAACATCCAATGTATTAATATAGAGAAGAAAGACTAGATCTATTCATAAATAGAATTTGCTTTTGTTCTTTCCCTAATCAGCAGCCTTGCCTTTATTTACACTGTATACATATATACATACAATACAATCAATGAGATATTATTAGCTGGAGGGGGTCAGATAGTTGCTTTGTGCTTATGATCTGGGTACAAAACTTGGTGTTGAGCTTGCAGCTTGCAGGTTGAGGCGAGCGGTAAATAAATAGCTTACAAATCATCCAACTTGTTAATACCAACTAGGGCTCAGTTATTTACTAAATAACACTCACTCACAGTTCTTCTTCCATGCTGCACCGGCTGCAACAACTAGTTTTTGTGGAGGACAGAACTTTATTATGTCGTATGTACGTACAGTACATTGGGACACCATGCTCAACCTTAACTACCTGTAAGCCCTGTACGCCCCTGAGACTTTTGGACTCAAGACGAGCCTGACTTGTTTTGTGGAAGGAAACCTAGGGCTCGCTCGCTCCCCTTGGAATTTTCGACAGTCCGTCATGGACACCTCTGTCACATATTCGACACACAGAGAAAATGTATGGATAGCATGAACGGATCACCCAGTCCTATCAAAGGTTGTGTTGTGCGGCAGGATTTGGCCTGCAGCAGCTCGGACACTTGGTGAGAACTAAGTAACTCATATCTGGGGCATGGTCAAGCATGGTCCAGTCCTTAATCCTGGCCTAGTCCCCCAGCGGTGAGAAGAGAGAGCAACCACGCGCATCAAATATCCAATTCCCGTCTGGGACGGGGGCGGTGATTGTGGACGCTGCGGAATATCCAATTCCCGTCTGGGACGGGGGCGGTGATTGTGGACGCTGCGGGGTGGGGATGGAAACAACCCAATCACGGCCCCAATGTTGCACACATCTCAGAGTATCTCCGTCAGCTTCGGTCCCCTTGATTGTCGACAAATGGACCGGCGTCACCTTGCACGGCATATCTAGGCCTGCTCGGTATAAGTTCATGAAGTTGCGCTTTCGTGCAACTTCCAATATGTCGGCCCTATGGGGCTGATTAATTTCACCTGCAATTGACTAGTTTACTATTATTTATATAATCTCGTGTATTATCTTTCCAGCTAGCTGCCGATCTGGAAACAACTATCTTATTTTCTCTTCTGCTGGGAAGAGACTTGTTGTTCTGAGTGTGCATTGTCTGTCTCCCACTTTCATCAACAAGGAGACACGCTGAGAAGAAGGAAACGAATTGGGCACAATGTTGCAACTCGCTTGCACCGCAGGCATCGCACTGGGGATCCTCTCCCACCTTCTACTCTTTAAGCATGGCGAATGGGACCGATATGCTCCCACTTTGGTGTTGTTCTACGCGTTTGCTATGAGTGTACTGAGCCCAGTAGTGGTCTTCATACTGATGGAGCTCTCCATGCTTAGCACATTGTTGCTGGTGTCCACATTCTGGATAAGTTATATGACTGGGCTTTTCGGGAGCATCGGTCTCTACCGCGGCTGGCTCCATCGTCTCACCCAGTTCCCAGGTCCGGTGGCTTGGAAATTATCCTCTTTCGGGTCAATCAAGGCCTCTGTGGGAGAATTCAAGTTTCCCGTAAAGGTACAACAACTTCACGAGACGTATGGAGATTTTGTTCGCATTCGTACGTTTAAATTTGATTTCTTTTCTTTTTTCCTTTTTTCCTTTTTTTTTCTTTTTTTTCTTGATCTGGCTCTCTACTCGGTAGTTTATGAAGTCAAATTGTTGTATTTCTAACTACGTATCACGCCAGGGCCCCGAGAAATCTCAATCAACCATGTAGATGCTGTTCGCGATATTCATGGACCAGGGACTACCTGTGTCAAAGGCCCATTCTACGACATCACTTACCCATTCAGATCTCTCCAGATGCTCCGTGACAAGGGCGCCCATTCCAGAAGGCGGAGAATCTGGGATCGCGGACTTGGTATAAAAGGTTAGCCAACGATCATCAACCCTTATATTCAATTCGAACAACAGCTACTTATTTATAGCTCAAAATGAATTAACATCACACCTCCAGCCCTGACCACATACGAGCCTAAAATACTCGGCCACTGCGCAGATCTCATAAGCCAACTGAGCGCGAAATCAAAGGGAGGCAAGCCTATCCATATCGGCCCGTGGATGAACTATTTCGGCTTCGACGTCATCGGCGATGTTGCGTTTAGTAAACCATTCAACATGGTAAAAGATGGGAAGGCGGCAGAAATCCTTGAAGATTTCCTGACGTCAAAGCCGGCATTGGGAACGCTTATCTGTGCCCCGTGGACATTCAATCTTGTGCAAAATCTCCCTGGATTGCGCAGGTTATGGGAAGCACGGACAAAAAACCATGCGCGCAAGATTGCGGAAAGAATGAAGGTAATGGTCTTATTAAGCGCCTCCCCTACCCGCTCTGTCCGTCTTTTAATAATATCGTTCCACCTAACGTACTGCGTCATCGTCACGAAATATCCAGCTAGGAACAACCTGCAAAGATCTCTTCTCCTATCTCCTCGAAGACGGCCCAGCCTCGCCCGCCGCTTCCGCCCCATTAGTTTTCTCCGAATTCTCCGTCCCCGGCGACCTCGCCTGCGACTCTGAACTAGCCATCACCGCAGGCAGCGACACAGTCGCTGCAACTCTCACCTCCCTCATCTACATCCTCGCCACGCACCCAGATAAGCAAACCCTCCTGCAGCAAGAGCTCGACACGCTCCTCACAGGCATTGCCGACATCTCGTATCAAAAGCTGTCTGTTCCCAATAACGCCCCGATGCTCGAAGGGGTCATTCTTGAAACCCTGCGTTTATATCCAGGGACTCCGGGGGGGATGCAACGCATGACGCCGCCGGAGGGTGCACGGATTGCTGGCAGATGGATTCCCGGCAACACGCTCGTGTCTACGCCTACTTATACCTTGCATCGTGGTAAGTTACTTGACTCTCCCCCACACACCCTTTTAAACAACCCCCACCACCATTTTGCCACACACGTACTCTCACGCACACACACACACACACACACACACTCACTCACTCACACCCCAGACCCGCGCAACTTCGATCAACCAACCACCTTCATCCCCGAGCGCTGGTCCTCGACACCAAACCTAATAAAACACAAAGAAGCCTTCAACCCCTTCCTCATAGGCGCCAACTCCTGCGCCGGCAAGGCCATTGCGCTCATGGAACTACGCTTCGTGACCGCGCTGATCTTTCGCAAGTTCACAGTACGCTTGCACACGGCTAATGCTGCAAAGTCATCGCCACTCTCGTTCTTCGATGAGCAGAAACCGGGCTGGAGGGATTATTTCACGGCGAGCCCGCCGCCTTTTGAGGTTGTTTTGGAGAGGAGGGGGTAGAGACGTAGTTTGGATGATCGGCTAACTATGTGATGGGAGATGGGGGGGTATATTTCGTCTGTTGGTTGGAAAATGGAGGGAGCGGGGGGGAGAGGGGGAGAATCGCATGTTGCGGCGATGGATATCACTTGTTTTCTTGATTTTTATTATTATTTTTTTTTTACGACGATTGATGATTTTTGACTTTGATGGTAGGTAAACTGGTCGAATAGCGTTCATTATTTGTTTGCTTTCTGTTGTTGAAAGCGGGTAAGGGAGGGCAGTCATGTTTTCTTTTTCTTTTTTCTTTCTTTTCTTTATTTCCACATGTTGCTACTCTATCAAATGATTAGGGGAGTATAGTTGAGTGTCAGGTGTCAGATTGAATATGGTCTCAGCATTTTTTTTTCTTTTCTTTTTTATGAATATTAATAATACTTATCTTTTATCATGCTGTCTATCAACATCTACACAAACGCGATAAAGTCAGCCAGTCGCTTGCAAGCCCAAGCTCCCTTTATTGTATCTCCACTAGGGCAAATAGACAACGTAGCTATTAGGTACCTAGGTATCCATGCAGATGATGCGGTGTGTACTCCGTATACATCCAGCACAAAGGGTAGGAAATAAGGACAAAGAGCATTCCCATGACAAAAGTAAGAAGAAAAAAAAAAAAAAAAAAAAAAAAAAAAAAAAAAAAAAAAAAAAAAAAAAGATAACACGGAACCAAAATATTTATACACATAACGATCCACCCTCTGAGAGGAATCCACCATACCAAGGTACTGTAGGTAGGTGGCTAAGCTAGATTCGAACCAAATTCACTTTTGTCTCGCTTCGGGTATCTGCTGCAACAAATCAAACGGGGGGGAGAGAGACATGAGCAAAAATGGGTGCTTGCTTGAGGGGCATTATTATAGATAAATAAATGTTGGTGGATACAAAGGGGGCGGGGGGAGGGGGGGGGTATAATATTTTGCTGTTTTGCTGTTATGATTTCGTCTTGTTCGTAGATGATTGTAAGGAAGGGGTTTTCAAAATACTCAACAACTCGCCTCGCTCTGCTCACCCGCTCCAATCCAATCCAATCCAATCCAATCCAATCAATTAATCAACCAACCAATCAACCAGTCAACCAATTCAGTAGATATAGAGAGAACGAAAAACGAAAATATCAATAAGATGGGAGTAAAAAGTGGAAGGGAAATGAGCAAAAGAAACCGAAAAAAACGCCTGTTTACATAGAAGAAAAAAAACTTAAACAGGCACACACATGACAAAAAGGGAACCAAGGAAACAAAAGGCCGAAAAAAACAGTAAAGCGTTAGAAAACTAAGCAAAAAAGTCCAGCACCCCCAGCGTCTAGCTTAATCAATCGTCATCCTCGTCGGCAGCGGTCCGCCCGCATGCAGATTCGACGACAACTCCGTTGTATTCGGCTTCTCATCATCACTAATGACCCTCCGGGTCGACAAGTGCGGTTTCAAGCCCTTGTTAAAGTTGCGCGTGCAGATACACGCGTTGACGATGGTCATGATGATCAGCACGATGGTGATGACAGTGAAGAAGGTGAGGGAGGTGCGAGCGGCCTTGTAGGCGTCCATGCGCGGCGGGGTGTACATGCGCACGAGCTTGAAGAGGAAATAGGCTAGGCCGCCGTGGTAGAGGAGCTGGAAGAGAGAAAGATTCATGATTAGTTGATTGATTGATGATTGACGTGCGGATAGGGGGAGTAGGGGTTGGTATGTTAAATGGTTTAGGTGGGGTAGGCAGTTTGGGTGGGAGCTTACAATGGTGATGATCATTCCCCATGTGTTTTCCCGACGGGTGGACCAGGCAGCGCCTAGGAGGATGAGGATGGTGACGGGGATGGCTATGATAGTGAGGATATACTCGGTTGCTTTCTTGTCGGTGACGATGACGATGAACTGGACGGTAAAGCCGAGGAAGAAGAAAAAGTCGAATTTCAAAAGGGCGATATAGATCTATATATTGCGATAGATTAGCAATTTAGCCAAATGCCAGGTTGAAGGAAATAGGATAATGGGACATGCAAAATAGCAAGTCTTACCTGGTATGTTAGATATCGACGCTTCATTCGCAAATCAGCGCTGATATGTTTATAAATGGTCCAGGCAAATTCATCGTATAGTTTCCAGGCAATGAAACTCATGCACAAAGACCCAACACCAATGATGACAGGAATGGCAACAAGGAACGGCTTTAAGTCGGACCAGATTTCCCTGTCAATGTTTTGGCCGGCATTCAGCTCAAAGATAGCCTCTCGGATCTGGTCCGTTTGCACAGCGCCGTATATAAGCAAGCCAACGTTGCAAATACATAGTCCAATGACTTGGATGGTGTTTTTCATTCGAAGCGCATCGTACGTCAAAACTAGCTCGTATACAAAACCGAAGATGTAGAGGGTTAAGAAAGTCGGGATCGTTCTGGAAGTAGCTGTGGTGCTCCAATTGCCTCTGAGTTGGGACTGGAAGCGAGCAAAAACATATCTATAACGTTTTCCAAGATTAGTAAATAAAAACCCAAGGTATATACAGGAAAGTAACTTACGACTCAAAACCCAGAATGATAGCAGCCTGCACGCAAGCAACAATGACGAACGACCACGTCCAGAGCGAGGTTGGGCGATACATCTTTGGCTCTGGTTCGGTGAAATTGATATAACCTTCTCTGGCACGGAAGCCGGTTGTTGAATGGCGAGCCGACGAGTCGAAGGCCCGTCCCCCAAGGAAAGAGGCGCGCGACGGATTGGAGGGAATTTTGGCGGTTCGCTCCCGCACGGAGCTCGACGCCTCTTAACAGAAAGACAATGGATGAATTGGGGAGTCGGGGAGTCGGGGAGTCGGGTGGTTAACGAGTGTATTCGAAATTGGTGGTGGTGGTGGTGGTGATGTTGAGGAATTGGGGATTGGCTGACGATGGGGGGCCCTTATCCGCAGCCGGACAGACGCGCAGAGAACCGGTGGAATTGCGGCAATAGTAGGACTGAGATGTTGATCGGAAAAGGGACTAATAGTTATGATATGAATTTGAGAGATTCAAGACGGTCCAATGGCTAGCTAAGGACAGATGAAGACCCCTTCATGCGTGCCCACCACCTTGGCCTATCCAGCAACAACCACAACAACGAGCAGCAGAAGAATGGGCGAATGAGCTGGAAAGGGAAAAGATAAAGAGGGAGGGGGAGAGAAGGGCTAAGGGAGGAGGGAGGAGAGGGAGGAGAAAAGAGAGAGGAGAGAGGAGACACAAATGCCAAACACACCCAGACACAGGCTAGAGTGTCAAGTCAACGAGGGGGGTTTGTGATGGTTGTGATGGTTGTGATGGAGCCCAGCAAAGGGGAACGACAGATGGAATGCCCAGACTGCCAGAGCAAAGTCTGAAACGCGGTGTCTAGGAGTTGTCAAGGCCAGCGAGAGGGGAGGATATGCTGTAACCAAGAGAACGGGAGAGAGGGTTGGACAGAGAGAGGGTCGTTATAACAGGTAAGTTAGCAGATAACCCAATAATAATAATAATAGTGAAGAAGAAAAATAAAACCAAAAATAAAATAAAAATAAAATAAAATAAAATAAAACAAGCGCAGACTCCGCCCTGGAGGATTGGAGATGGAGAACATGACAAGACAAGGGCTTATTAGGCTTATTAGGCTTATTAGGCTTATTAGGTAGTTATCGTATCTGAGGCTGGCGCAGGCTGGCGCAGCAGGCTAGGCATTATTGAACTGAACTGCTTAACTGCTATAACTAACTAACTACTAACCTAACTGCGGCGTAGATCCATAAATAATACTGCGTTAGTTACAACTACAGAAATAAGCACATCCAACTGAGACTCAGCTCAGCTAACTAACTATCAACTCAACCACATGGTCCTTTTTCAGCTCGCAATGTCCAACCGACAGTGTGTGTATACGCTGTACGGAGTAGAATCAATTCAGCTGAATCAGAATCAATTGCAATGTCGCGGCGCTGGGGTGGTAAGACCGGGGTGGTAAGACCGGTGTAGAGTCAGTAAATTGAGGTTGGTTATAAGAGAGCTAGCTATTCAGATGAAGCTTGATTCAGCTACTTGCTACAAGAGGATAAGATGATTCATATAAAGATTGATATATATATATATATTTCAAGTACTCAGATATATTAGAAATAAATCACTTGATTTCTAGAATGATAAATCAGCCAATTAAAGTTAAATTAATAAAACTTCTCTGGGAATTCTCCCACTCAAGTGATAAAGTTATATTTAGTAGAGAGAGTTTATAACAACATTGCAGTGATACCACGACATCAGTTATTTTACAGATATCTATTTTTAATAATAAGAAAACTAGAGTCCGAATTCTGTAATCTATTATTATTATGTTTTTGAAAGAATTAACAGCTAGTAAATTAATAAGTAGTTAATATCAGTTTGCGAACACTGTATATAAGTAAGAGAGAGTGTTAATAGTTATTGCCTAGGTGCCTAGGTACTGACCATGGCAGTCACATGTCTATTATTAGAGAACCTTGCTAGCTAAACTACTACTCCTGTACTCTGCTCTGTACGTAGTTACTCTGTAACTACGTAGATACAAAATAATAAACTAATAAGCTATGACTATTTCATAACATAAATATTTAATGAATTTAATCAACTTGATCAATTTTATGCCAAAAAGGCCATTTTTCATGAAATAGAGAAGAAGGGCTTGCTTGTTCTCAAAAGGCCCACCGCACCGACCCTGTAACTAGATAACAAAGCCAGTATGATTCCAAGGTGTGACCCCCATGCACCCCGCTCTCTGAGATACATATTTGCCATGCGTACTCCGTATGGATCAAAAATTAGAAAATTACCCTGTTATCATGATGATCATGACCATGCTTTATTCTCCGCACCCACCACACCACCTTGGCACCAAAAACGGCTGTTATTTAGGTAAATAGTACTTTTGAATAACTATAATCAGTTAACTACTTTCTCGACAGGGCACGCCGATAGTTAACGTGCGGAATGTTCCTCAAACAGATACCATGGCCGTTCTTCCGTCTGTGAATAACGTGCCACATCCAGCTGGATAATACCAGAGGATTGAGTAGTATACGCCAACAGCACCAGCACACAGACATTCAATGCAGCTCGCTCCGTTGAAGGCCAATGTCCGATTTGCAGTTATAAGCTATATTGATCTCGAGGCGATCAAATGTGACAAGTGTGCGGGCCAGCTTCTAGAACCAGAACCCCTTCAAACTGAAATAATCCTGTGAGCAAAAAATCGATGGCTCCGTCAAAGCATGTTTTCTTGGAATTAGACAAACAAACTGCAACCGCTGAAACTTGAGGTTTTCTTTCAGAAAACGCTTCTTCAAACGGTGTTTGGCCAAGCCGCATCACGTTGGCGTGGTTGAACGAAATGGGGAACGGACGTTGGAGGTCCCGCTCCCAGGCTACGAGGAGAGAGGTCATATATTCGCGGCTTGATGCCTGCATGCCAGGTATACTCATCAGTGGTAGAAACATGGCGGCAGAGTCATGATGGTGTCCAGCTCTATCAGTTCATTGAAAAGGACAATGTTGTTTTTCATTCTATCATCTTCCCCGCTTCCCAGACGGTACTAAGACCAGTGAGCACAAGTTCATCATCATTCGCCAACGGATTATCTCACCTACGACGCTGGAAGGGTCTCTGAGTCTCGCGGTATTAGCGTTTTTGGAAATCCTGATCAACAGATGGGGGTTCCTTCAGATGTCTGGCGTTATTATCTGCTGTCCCGTCGACCAGAGACTGGAGACATCGAATTCTCCTGGGACTCGTTTATCAGAGTATAGTGCCCGACTGGACGAAATACCATGAACCCTCGTTCGGCGTAGGAAGGAAGAAATCAGCAATCTCCTCACACAGTCCGTCGAGGAACTCGATGTTGTCCAATCTGCGCGCCGGCCTGGCCAGCGTTTTCTGCTCATCACATACCCAAAGCACAATTTATTCCTCCAGGCGAACAAGCTCGATGGCAAATTGCATGAAAACGAGCACGCAAAATGCATCTCGCCTCCATTATCGCTCCATACATACCAGACACGGCTGAGTCCATCTGCACGCAACTGCGCGTAGAAGAGTCATTTCCCATCCCCTACCGTTGGAGTGCTGATTCCATCAAACCTGGTCGTGATATTGGAAACGCAAAACTGGGCGCAAAACATTTGGAAGCGAAGAGGTAGAGAAAGTGAAAAAGTGGAAGCAGCAACAATAAAGGCAAAAAAAAGTCTATAGTGTTGAAAGTGAATGGGATTTCGAGATCATGATCAGTCCCCATGAACTAATAATACATGTTAGATTGCCACGGGGATTCGGATCATGTCAGCTGTGTTTTCAAAGCCTCGTTCAATCTGGTTTCTTGGGAATAGAAGAGCGGCAGTTGGTATTTTCTTTTTTATTATACTCTGAGAGCATCTATCGAGATATCGTTTCCTTCCCATCTCCAGCTTGGTGTTAAAAATGTTTGAACGTTAATAAAAGTCAACATGTAGTATTTAGCTTGGGTAAAATATTTGCTAATAAACCGTTTTCGCTAATACTTCGAGAGCTTCGTAATTATTGTTAGTTGATCCGTCTCGTAAAAGTAATTGTTTACTGTAAGGAGCTTGTCACCGTGAAAGCTCCCTTACAGTAATAAATAGTAGCAAGATCGAGGGCACTAACCGTATCCATCCTAGCGTTGTCCCGCACAGTCAGAGCCGCACTTTACTCCAAGCATCAAGTTTGTTTCTCTTCCTTCTTCTTCTTTTTTCTCTTTCAAGCGTCGTCCTCACCAAAGCTGCGTTTCTTTGCTACACACGTCAGATCTATCTCTTTCCTCACCCTCTTCAGAGGGAAGAAGAGAGCTTAGCTATCTGTCTCTGATTTGAACTCAATCCTCAATCAGAAAAAATCACACATGCAAATGAGAAATTCGGAGTAATCTTCAAACACACAACCCGCTCAACTCTCAGCAAAAGAGGGTTGGGCCGGTACTGCCCGCGAGGGCCTGGCGTGAAGAATTATCACACGTCTGCAATCAGGCATCAGAAACTTCGGAGGGGATCAGGGTTCCAGGGTCGTGGGAAACCCCAGCTTCCCTCCCCCCCCTCCATGGGAGAGCCGTTGCGAAGATTGTGTGTACATCCTCCCTTCTCTCTCCGCTTTTCCTCCCCTGTGGGTGGTTAAGTGGTTGAGGGAGGGGGGTTGTATGACACTTTAGTGCAATACGCAGCGTACTGGGTTCTCATCTTTTTCTTATTTTTAGAATGGGATCGAGACTGGTATGAATTCGATTCCGATTACTCTGGTGGGGACAACGCTTCAATCCTTTTTTCTTTTAAGGTTCGTTGTTGTTGTTGTTTTTCTTCTTCTTTTATCACATATTTGACCATTCCCGCGAAGATCTGTGAAAAACCATCCGGGTTAGGGTTTAGTGTGGTTTTATTTTATTTTTGTCTTTGAAGGGATACTGCTAATAATGTCATTTGTTGTGTTGGAGGTTCCTTATAAGAAACGAACGGACAAAAAGATTTCCCCCCGGACGCCACCTCGCCCTCTTTCTCACGTTCTTATTGGCGAGGGTTGGGGGCAGTTCTTGGTACAGCCTAGACGGGTATGCGAAACATACCACGGCAGAAGTGCTTCTTCTTTTGTCCCCTTCGTTCCTCTTTGCTCTCTTCTTGGAGATGGCTACATTCGATCTTGGGAAATGATGTATGGATTGCTGCCGTTGGCTACCTTACCTGGCTGGGCGAGTGGGAATCACTGGGGAACCCTTGTCACCGTATGTAAATATCTGATTTAATTCAAGTTCTCTCCGTGGCAAATATTACCTATCTTAGCCCTGGTGTATCCTACTATCCAAATTTATCAAATGCGTTCTTAATACTCCCATCATGGTCCGTTTCATCCGTGAATAATGCGATCTTTGGTTCTTTGACTCAGCACCAAGATGGTCAGGCTTATTTCAAAAAAAGTCGCCAGTCTCTTCAGCTAGCAGAGATTGCAACGACGCCTCTAACTAATACGCCGTTCAAGGCTCTGTTCTTCACAATCCTCGCCGTCGGGGGCCGGGAGCTGACTGCGGCATTTCAGGAGCGCGAGCCCCTGGCGCTGTTCATCATGATTTTCTGGGCTGTGCTAATTCACCTGTCTGCTAGAAGCAATGTTCTGTGGCGGGTTGGGAATATTGGGTAGGAGATTGTAGACGAGATATCTGAAGTGTTGGTCACGTCGCCATTTGTGCGGCTTTACGGGGTTGGCGAGACGATTGTGTGGGCGAGAAGGGAGGTTGGGTTGGATTTGGAGGCGGAGTCGGGCTTGTCGTCTGCGTTGTTGTCGTTTTTGGTGTTGTAAAATCGCGGGGGTGTGGTGGACTGTCTACAGGAACTACTAGTGCTTTCCAATCCAGAACCGGAGTTACTGTGAACGAATGAAATGATGATATTTAACTCCTAATTGTGGTGGTTTTATTTTATTTTGTCTTACTTCTTATCTCGAGGGGAGATGAACGAACATGCGCATGCAGGGCTAATTGTCTCAGATACTACACCGCTGGATTGTATCACCGTGTAGTCCAACGGTACTGATTTGCATACTTTGTGGAATCTTACCTTAGAAAACAAAAAAGTCATAGGCGTTGAATGTACATGTACATTACCTCAAATCCTTTGACCGCAACGAACAAGAATCTTTGAACGTGCTAATATACCTGATGGGACGATCCCATGCTATAAATAAACTAGAAAGAAAACTGAAGGAGTACCGTGGAATGGAAGTTGAGTTGGTTAGGTATATCATTAAATCGTGTTTATTTTAAAACTCGTAAAATGATTCTTCAATTATATCGTTTCCCTATTTCCATTGAAACGATGAAAGAAGAGAAAGAAAGACGTGATATAGAAAACACCTTGTGGAGGGATTCATGGTTGACCGACTACAATCGGCATGGTGGGGAAGGGGCGCATCAGGGGGAAGAACATGCTTCATTGTTGAGAAGGTTTGGAAAATCTTTTGTACCTTCTGTTTTGTTTTTCCCTATTTCTCTCTTTTTCCACTTCACTCTTCGTCTCCGATCTGCAGTGCAAAATATATTAGAACAGGTCTCAGAAGTTTGAGAGGGGACAAAAATAATTCCATAAAAGCAATAACATTGCTTTCCAGGAGCAAAATGTAACGTATATACGACATACCTTTGGCGCAAGGAAGAATCTCAGATGGCCACTGCCCAATCCGTACTCGACTAGGAGCGGCACTTCCTGTGAGAGACACAGACGAACGGACGTCGACAGGCCTGTAGCCTTGCAGAAGTGCATAAGATATTTAAGGGAGAAGGTGAGGGAGACGGGCTCTGAGAGGGCGATGGAAACGTTCTGGTCTGGATTATCGACGTTGGTGTGTTGGCGGAGGGTGATGGCGCCGTTGCCAATCTCGCCTTGGCAGGAGAATTTAACACCATCCTTGTTGGCTTCGATCATTACTGTTCCGGTGTTGTTAGGTCGGATATTTCTTCCATTTAAAACCAAAAAGCAAAATACAGATAGGGATGTCGATTATGCCGGGTTGAGCAGATCTATTTTCACTTTTAAAGGGCCGAAAATATCAGTTAACATACCAGACTCCGACAAGTTTCCCAAATCCGTACAAATCCTCCTGAACTCCGTCGACGGCATGTCAACTGTAGCCGCATACTCTGTGTCCGGAATCGCCAGGTGCTCCTGGTCAATATCCATAAGCTTGATATCATACTCGCTCAGCCGGTCCGTCTGCGCGCTCTCAAAGACGAGGTTAATGACGTCTGGGGAATCCTCTGCCTTTAACGTCAAAATGTCTTCGTTTTGTGCAGCTCGCAGAACCTTTGTGAGAGAGACCAGGTTAATTCCCAGCGCGACGTTGCGGTCGCAGCGGTAGGGGGAAAAGCCTTCTGCTTTCAGCATCATAGAGACCAGTGCCACGTGGGAGTTATCCATGGCTTGGAGGGCGATTCCTGAGTCATTGCAGTCGAAGTTGCAGTCCTGCACTAGGTCTTTGATGGCATCAACAACCTGTTGTGATTTTGTAAAAGAAGTTGTCAGTTTTTATATTGCGTTTGGTCGTATTGTGAGATCGGTGGGTGGATAGGAGTAGCGTGTTGTGGTGGGTGCCTGCCTGCCTACCTTCTTCAACAAACTGGCTTGTTCTAGCCGTGCTTCCAACACTGTTTCACGTCATTATCAATCCCAGGCCAGATTTAGTAGCTATTAGAATTAGATTACGCACTCTTGTCAATTGAGGTCTAGGAGATCAAATAGAAAAAGAAAACGGAGGTGATGGTGAAAGCGTCTGGCGGGGTAGTAATTGAGGACGTAGTAAATTCTGATAAGATATTAAAATTGTCAGCACTGAAATGGCAGTCAATGTTAAGCATATGAGAAGACTTACACTGGTATAAATGTGTCCGAATTGGATGTAGTGAGTGTCAAGCAGTTTGTCGGGGGATGGGAAAGTGTCTTGAGTTGAGGATTGAAGTTTGTGAAGTGGTGAAGCGCCGTCGCGTGCAGACACGAAATCGCGTGGATGCGGGCATCACGTAATTTTGCCGGTTTCGCGTTAGCGCAGTTACATTTTAGACCCAGCCTTTGCATGCATCCTTCATCCCTATTATAAAGAAAGGTACCTAGATGCACGCGCAGAATCTGCGAAAGGCATTATGATGCTGGGGTCAATCCCTTTGGATATCGAATATAAGTAGTATCTTAACAAAAATATCTATAGGTACAAAATTCAAAAATAAATTGGGGGAAAATACATTATCTAGAAATCATTCGAGTCGACCAAATTTCAAGCGCTGGCTTGGGAACAATAACAGAAAAAGAACCATATAGGAAGAAACTCCGTTCAAGATATGCCGAATAAATGATAACGTAGATAGCGAGAACCCAAATCAAAATTCAATGTCATCGCATGACTCCGGTCACCGCTGAATATAGGGTATCAAACACGTGGCTGGGACTGGTGGAAACAACCAGATAGTTCCAAATATCTCCCCACAGATGGAAGAAAATATGATCGGAATGCTCATAATAACGGTAGTGTACAGATGGGCAGTCCAGGCTCATCTTTAAACTTAGTAAAATAAAAAAATAAAAATAAAAATAAAAATAGAATAAAATAAAAAAAGAAGTAGAAGAAGGGCAGGAAGAAAGGAAGATAGGAAGGAGGAAAAACCTATTACATCATTCAGATGCTGGTAATCCGTGGCCCTGTTTTCCCGCGCGGACGTAGTCTAATAACTGTTTCTAGCTCTCTCAACATGTGTGTATTTGCGTCCGATTTCTCTCGTGCCACGGCTTGTCTAACCCGCTCTTCTTTCATTCGGGCTATTCTTTCATCTCTTGTCATGGAGCTACGTTTCCGGGGCAGGGCAATTGCTTCAAAAACTTCATCGTCATCCATGTTGTTATCTGGGCTTGCGAGGTGCTGGTCCTCGCCATTCAATGCTCGAAGAGCCTCCGCAGGGCCCCCTTCAACTGCAGTCACGCCACCTAGGCTAAACGTTGGAGATGCTGGCGTCCGTAGTAGACTTGTGGGCCGCGAGAGACGATCGGGATTTTCCATAGTGGCTAATAAGGAAGATCTTCCAGCTTCCCACTCTTGTAATAATCCCCTTAAATCCGTCCCGATAGATTGGTAGAGAGTTGCCAGTGTTGTACCAAAATCTACATCATCCGTTGCTCGCTCAAGGCTGGCATCAGATTCCTCGCGAATAAGTTGCATTTTGGCATGTATCCCACGGATGCCTTGGGACAGAGAATTGAGTCGCCTAAGTTGCGCACGATGACGGTCTTTATTTGGGGTAAGCTTGGATTGGGGGGAGGGTGGTATTATATTGTCTAGGCCAATTTAGTACGTGTATCCCGCTTAGTACATCAAGCCAGTCGCACTTACAGTCTTGCTCGTTGAGTATTGCTGCCAGTCTTTGTACGCAAGCTCCATTTGTAACAGCGAGGCGTTGCATCTCCTCAATAGCAGTACTCCAATATGCAATATCGGCTTCCCCGCCCTCCGCCGGTAGCGCTAGCAAGCAGCATAATGTGCCTTTTCTAGCGGCGTAAGCTCTCGAAAACAAGTGTCTAAGAGATCGTAATGAGGTCTTGTCTTCCAATGGACTGTCAGTTGACAGAGACTTGGGTTCCTCAAGTTCCTCTGGCGAGAAATCATATATGTCGTAATATTTTTCTAAATTAGCAGTATCTGTAAGTGATCGTAGATGTCGTTTTGCATCCAAATATTTCTCTAGCATCTCCGAAAGGCACTCTGAAAGAATGCGCCGGAGTCTCAAACAGCGTCGTGTTTGTGTTTGCTCTTCCAACCGGGTTATTGGAGGCATAGGGGTGCTTCTGTGTGAATTGTTAGGGTAAATTCGGTTCGTTAGGAAGTATATTTGGATATTTAATAACGAACATTCTATATCCTCTGGAGACCAGTTCCACCTCCTGTATCAAGACAACCGAAGCCGATGCCGCAGAATCAAAAGACTGTGCGTTGGTGACGAGAACAGATGCAACATCCACGGCCTGGCGACGAAGGTATTTCAACCACTGACGCTTAGCGAAAGCGTAGAATGCTGTCGCGACTGCCAGAAGAAGAATGATAAGGATACAGACCCGCCGGAAATCCCAACCGGAGCCCTGGCGAGATCTAGCCCAGTGGAGTATCCAAACCACGGAAAACGATGCCCCGGCTGTGAATATAGCCCCTCTTAAACCAAAACTTGCTGCTCGTGTGCCTGGCAGATCAGCATTATGAGTTGTATTCGATAGTAATCCCGACACGGTGCTGTACGACGGTGCGCTTTGCTCGTTGAGGAGCTGGGAGGCAACAATCGTGTATCCAAACTGTTCAAGAAACCGCTCGTTCTCGCTCTTCCCTATTTTCGTGCTAATCGCTGCCTGATGCGTTTAAAAAAGAGAAAAGTCAGCAAGACGTAGTCCCCCAGAGGATGCGTGCGCGGCATTGTTTCCCCCGTACTTTGCAGGCATTATGGATCTTGGCTAGAGTTTCTTGCTGGCCCATGGGTTTCAATTGTAACGGTGCAGGCAGTTTATTTCGTATTCGGTCTTGAAATGTAGGGGGCCCTCGAGGAGCGAAATTCGCTGTCAACGAATCTAGAGGCGTTTGAGTTGGGTGGTGCTCTTCATGTTGAGGTGCCCAGTCTTGCTGTGCTACTCCCTCGCCTGTAAGAGTCCCCGAGTCAGCAGCGTGCGGCAAATCCATGGCAGGATAAAATACTCAAGGACATACCCTCCAGGTAGTCAGCTAATGGTGAGTCTTCATAAACCAGCGCCTCCATGGCGGAAGGGCATGGTTCGTGGGGCCTTTATGAGCAAGGGCAGAGGCGGCGATTGAAAGGTGAGCTAGAAGGCAAAATGGCGCTCTAGGAACAAAGCGAATGGGGTTAATATAGTGCGACGGAAAGAAGATTGATAGTAGTCCAAACCGTGAGTGCTACGAGATCGCATGTACCATGACTCTTCTGTTGTTTTGCCTGCACCGAAATAACCCTCTTTCAACAGGGCGATCTGGAGTTGAGGGCAGTATGCGCGCCAGAACGAGACATAGGGGGGTTTACTGCCGGGGCCACCTGACCGCGCTAAATAGGCTGACCGATAAAAACCGCCTGGACAGAGAGCGGCAACATCGAAGTTCCCCTTCCTTTTAGGCCTTTGCCGGCCACACCACCAGGCATGAATCATTAACCCCTACCCTACTCTACCCTTCTGGCTGCTGGAAACGGTTTGTCTCCGTTCCTGGCTTCAGGCTTTGGCCGCACTCGAAAATACTGCTTGCAGAGAAGCAACGCGCTATGTTCTTTGGCTCAATGTGCCTGAACCACTTGCGGGCACCACGGCCCACAGGCTGCATATTCATTCTACCTACAACACTCCACGCAACGATTCGTCCTCTCTGCTGGCATCATCGTATGCGCAGCTAAACGCATGGTTCATGGGTACCTGCAGGATTATAATCATTCCTATCCAACGTGCTACCATTGTCTGCGCAATATTGAAACATACCCCTGCTATCGTTTCTACGAGGATGGATTGTCGAGCGGCTAAACACCCGCTCCATCTTTATTTTACGCAAGTTAGTTAACTGCCGGTGTGGTTTCTGAATTAAACCGCGTTCTTTGGCAGTTACTGAAGTCAGACACCTCGTGTCGAGCAAACTTATTGGTCGTGCTAGGATTGGCTAAATTGACGACCCATCTCCACCACAGTTGCAACACGGGAGATTAGCTGGAGATTGGTATCAACATGCATGGGCGAAAAAAACATTCGTGGGACCTGGGCATTTTACAGCAATTGCCACGTGTTACAACGCTTGTAACCTTCTCGATGCCTGCTTTACTTCGGTCAACTTTTCGTTCATTCCGAAATTGTTGCGTTACCAACACAAATGCAGCAGTCAGCACTCCACCTATGGATGCTCAGTCAAAGGCTGCAATGATTAGGTACACTGTTATCCAACCCATTGATCCTGTTCGATCTTCCAAGTAGAAAACGTCTGGTGGCTCATTTTGCATTACTACATATCCCTAATACCCATCTGACGAGGCATACAAACTGCAAAATGAAAGCCTAATTGACATCCTCTCCTTGTCTCGCAAATATTTAGCCTTCCTGTGCTTGCTCTCTAGGGCCTACGAGGAAGCCGCGTTCTGTGCTCTCCTAGCCTTCATGTCTCAAAGGCGAAGCATCCAGCTATAACCTTTTCCCGCATCCTCCGCCTGCCGATCTAATAGGTACACATTGGTCAGTACGGCCGGATCTTAGGAACGTAAGATTGATTTCAGATGAAAATACCAAGACGGAAGGAAGCCACAGTTTGGTACAACTCTACTCTACGGAGGCTAAATCAAGGTGCTCAGCTCTTCTTACCGTTTGAAGGAAGCGCACGTTCCATTGCCTTCTCCGTGCTCATGAGGCATCATCATACACTACTTAAGCCTGTCAGGTTCAGTCTTTGTGTGTTAGGAAGAGCAAGCATCTGCTTCCCTAGTTATGCCATATAATGATACTTAGGAGGAGAATGGAGCTAGCCTGATCAGCAAGCACACACACCCAGATTTCTGATAGTTCAGAATTCTCTTTTAGAAGGATATCACCAATGTATATGTGCACATACAATATGTATGTGTGTATATACTCTCAGTCAGGTATTCCAGTAAATATGTAAATTAAAACCTTAGCAGCTATATCCGAAAGCAGCCAGCTTCTCAAATCCGGTCTCTCGCTCAAGGTCGAGCCCACTTATTTTGTTCATAGAAACTGTATCCTCAGGAATGTGCCAAAATATTATGTCTTTCGTACAGTTTTCAAAGTACCCTATGGGATTTAATTCTCATGCGGCACCTAGGTAACACCTACATGTATGCCATTTGAGGAAGTAAGCAATTCTATAATGGAGTACTCCGTAGTTAAATCAGATAAGTCGAGTCTGGGATCCCGTCGATTTTGAGTTTCGGTCCGAACCGGGAGGGCTTGGCGCTTCCCAGAACGAACAGTTGCCCCAGCAACCAAACCCGCTCCTTGTTAATCTGTAAACATCTTCAAGATGTTATATTGTGGTGAGGGACATCAAGAGCTTCGTCACGTCTCGAAAATGATTTAGCTCAAGGAAAACATTCGTTATCAACAATTTACATAAAGATTTCAACCCTCTTCATGTGAAAATCTCACACGTTCCCTATGAGCATCGTTTTAAGATGCTCCCATGCCCCTAGTACGCATAGTTTTGTATAGTGAAGTTTTGCCTGAAGGTAAGGCCCAAAAATTGTGACAGTTGCTACTTTCATTCATTGCTCAGAACTTTTAGAATTCAACGTGTTGCGAGACCGCCATTCTTGATACCCTAGAAGATGTCGAGGGGTTACGGTGATATAGGGACACCCTGCCCTACAGAATGGAAACGAGGCAGCAAATCGCCCTTGAGTAGCAGCGGGAATATTTATGACCTCGATGATGAGCTTGGACTTTATGATGATGATACTGCCGCAATCGACTTTACTACTGACTTCCGTGCCCCATTGACAAGAGTTAAACCGAGAAAGGGGGGAAAGGCAAAAGCATTTGATATTCACGAAGATGGGCTTGATAACTTGGGGCTTGGGCAGGGCAAGCAAACCGAACCAAGCCAGCGTACAAGGGTTAAACCTATAAGTAAAAACTCGTCGATGTTGTCACAACCAGCCCAAAGATTCCAACGGCCTAGGGTTAGCTTCGCCGATGTAGCATCAGCTAAGCTTGACAAGCCCACTGTGCAACGACAGAACCCTCCACAACCTCAGAAATCCCCTGTTATAAATAGGCGCATTGGGAAGCTGAAAGAGGAGCAGCCAACAGCTGCGACTGATGACCCTCTGAAGAAGGCAATTAGGAGAAGAACCATTTACATCCCTCCGGAAGACACTACCATTCCCTCCGTTTTCATGGGCATATTCAGTCCAGTCAAAACTCTAAATCCTTCTGAGGAAAAGGACAACGCAGTTGGGCATTCTGACATAGATAGCTTGGAATCCAAGATTTCTCGAAAACGGCCGGGAAGGAAGTCATTCGCTGTCGCTCCCCGACGTGCACCCCTTCAGCCTTCATTAAAACCGATGCAGGAGTCTAGTGTCAAACATGATATAGCAGGTCAGAACGGTGGAAAGGAAAATATACCTCCAGGTGGATTAATTGTTCCTGGCGACAAATATAAGAAATCTAAAGGAATAGATTTCCCTGTTTTTGATGTGCCACGTACTGAAAAAAGGAAGAGCATATGTACCGTGGAGCCTGTCAAAAGATCTACACCGACTGTTAAGCCAACGGCGAGGACGAAGCCTGAAACGCGGCGAAATTCTCAACCCACTGACAGGAAGATACTCGGCAATAAACCAAACGTGGCCGTGAATTCAAAGGCAAGCCTGCGAGAAAAAAGCGCCTCCAACCCCAAGGTTACCTTGAAGGCTCGCCGGAGCCAGGGCACAGGGCCACAGCTCTCTCCACCTGCCCCTAAGCCGCCAACGATAAGAAAGCCTCCAGTACCAAAAGGACCTCCAACGAAACTTACGGTTCCCAGCGTTCCTCCGTTGACGATCGATCAGAAATACCCTCTATTAACTGAAGACATATCTAATCCCGCTATGTATGAAGAGAGTTGGCTTGCACATCAAGAGGCGGCAATCACCCAACTTGTGAATGGTCTCTTTGACTCTGCACGAGAAAACTCAGGCCAACATGATAGTGACGCCCTTAGACACGAACTTTTGGGGATCTACCAAGAACCCTCTTTCTCCCTCCTATATAAACGAGTTCACGCATCTATCGAATATGGGGCGTTGGGGGTACCTAAGGATGTTTTGGCTCGTGCAAATGGTTTGAAAGAGGATATCGGACGAAAACGCGCCTTCCTCAATTTTTGGATGGAAACTTATGACCTTTCTGCGCTTCGAGCCGCTGCGGAAACAGTAATAGGTCGAAGGATACCCGTTCCAAATCGACCGAGTAGACCCAGCAATTCCACAATTTCCGCTTCGCCAAGGGGAGACAGACAATTCCGTCGTACGATAGAGTCATTTTTGGAAACGTTTATTCTACGAAATGAAGATGTTGGCGTTGGTACTGCTGCTGGTATAAGTGGTGAGGATGCCGGTACGCCGCGTTGGTCTTACCGAAGAACTCTTTTGCGCAGTATTATGATAATTGTGCTCCTCGATAGGGCAAGGTCTAGTTCAGAAACTACATTGCCGCGATGTTTGTTTACTCCGTCGTCAAAGTATAAGTCATCAGCAGCTGTCCTCCAGGGGCTGGGGAACATGCTGCTTCCGTCTGTTGGCGACATTATCCGGCCACTAAGTCACCTTGACTGCCAGGTAGTCTACAAACAACACCCTCTACAAGAATACGATTATCGCATTAATAATCTTGCTGTGGATCTTCGAGATGGCATACTTCTTACGAGGTTAGTAGAGCTACTTCTATACCCGTCTGCATCGGCTCTACTCTCCCAGCAACGTGACCTTGATGCCACGAGTACACTTACCATGCCAACTGGGGAAGTTATATCTCTATTAGAAGGAGAAGAAGACTGGATACTTTCTCAGCATTTAAGGCTGCCCTGCATTGGTCGGGCGACGAAACTATTCAACGTGCAAATCGCACTAAGCGCTCTATCAGGCCTTCAGGGCATTGGTATCATAGTCAAAGATATCCGTGCGGAGGATATCGTTGATGGGTACCGAGAAAAAACCATAGCGCTGCTCTGGGGCCTTGTTGGGAAATGGGGGCTGTCTGGTTTGGTGGACTGGGA